AATGTATGCATGTAAACGTTTATTAACGTGTGTTGACGAAACCAATTTGTTGATTTATGCTTATACATGTGATTTGTGTTAGAGTTAAGGTTATATGCTACCTTACACATTACACCTGTGATCTGTGTCAGAGTTAAGGTTTTATGCTACATTATACAATTATGGACTTTTGTGCTGGTAAATATGATGTGATATGATCCTGAAAGAGTGATATTGACTGAGGCGAAGCCGAGGTTAATATCACTCTTTCAGGTTCATATCACATCATGTTTACCAGCAAAAAAGCCCATTACTGTTTTATTATATGCTTCAACAATAAAATAAAACGAAACAAAACTAAAGGTTCTGATTTTTGTACGCGAGCCTCCGTGTAAAATTTAGCCAGGTTTGAATACAACAGTTCATCATTGTAGCTTTCGAAGGCATCGGCTAGATTCTTTTTCTTAAGATAAGCATGGAGTACATGCACTGCGTGTTCAATGGCCTCTTTTACGTTAACAGCATCTTTATCCTCGAATAGTTTTGGTAATTTTCCTAACGAAGGAGAAACGTTCGCCAGCAGCCATCTTCTAATGTCGTCTGACAGATTGCGTTCCAGTCTAACTGCGCATGCGCTACGACAGTTTCCGGGGAATTTCCATACAGGCTATATTTAGAAATCGATATTCACCGGATAACCAGTCTACATGAGTTTTTGAGGACTGGTCACGTGTATAGGATCCGACCAATGTGATTGCTAGAAATGTTCATGCATATAATAATACACATTATACCCTTGATTTGTGTGAGAGTTAAGGTTATATGCTACCTTACACATTCTACCCGTGATTTGTGTCAGAGTTAAGGTTATATGCTACCTTACACATTATACCTGTGATTTGTGCGAGAGTTAAGGTTATTTATTATACCTCCTGTTAAAATCTTGTAATCTGATTGGTTGAGAAAGATGTGAACATTTTCAATGTTGCTTGCTCGTTTTACAAAGATAAAGAAGACAGGGTGTTATTCCAAAAAATATCACATGCGCCAAACGTATGCGTGCACGGATCGTCCCAGTGGCAGGGGGTTATTCCAAAAATTGTTACATGCGCCGAATGTATGCGCCCCTAGTTCATACCAGTGAAAACTTTGAAGTCTTGGTTTATGTCAAATCAACACAAGGACCTTTAAAAATGGTGAAGTGGTGAAACACCTAAACATGACACTTGGTATAATAAAATAAAAATCACATTCATGAGAGGGCGATATTGCATATTTTCACCAAAAGGAAGCATTGTTACCCGAGGCGAAGCCGAGGTCAACAATGCTTTCCGAGGGGGGAAAATATGCAATATCGCCCTCTCATGAATGTGATATTCATATAATGCTACACATTATACTTGTAATTTGTGTTAGCGTTAAGGTTATATGCTACCTTACGCATTATACCTGTGATCTGTGCCAGAGTTAAGGCAATATGCTAGCTTACAAATTATATCCGGGATTTGTGTGAGAGTTAAGGTTATATGCTACCTTACAAATTATATCCGTGATTTGTGTGAGAGTAAAGATTATATGCTACCTTACACATTATACCTGTGATCTGTGTCAGAGTTAAGGTAATATGCTACCTTACAAATTATATCCGGGATTTGTGTGAGAGTTAAGGTGATATGCTACCTTACACATTATACCTGTGATTTGTGATAGAGTTGATGTTTTATCCTACCTTACACACAATACCTGTAACTTGTGTAAGAGTTAAGGTTAATGGGTCGGGTCCATTGTAGGGTGGAGAGGGGTCTAAGATATTCAAGCATGTATTTATTCAGGATTGATATATCGGTAGGTGTTAAAGGTTAATAAAGCGGTAGCGATTACAACATTTAATGACACACTTGGAAAGGGAGGCAACCGAAAACACACACTAGACTACCTGATGTTTACATTTATTCAGATTAAGACAAACACCTTTGCCATAACATTGGTCTAGATAACCGTGTTTATTTTGTTAAAGTCGATGGACCGTGTGAACTGAATCATCATACAAGATATTTAAATGACGGTTTTAATTGAATCTTTTCAGCCAAAACACGAAAGGTCGTATCACGCGTAACTGGTGAAGCAGCAAATGAACGTGTAAAGCAGGTCAAAAGAAAACGTGTTTGACGATGTAAAGGGGATACTAAGATATAAATCAAATCAATTGTTAATTAATCCAATTAGAAAATGTTAAAGAGGATACCTCTAGCACAATCTGATTAGAATCATCTGTTACATGGCTTCGTTAACTTCGTACTACGTGTTCAGGCGGAGCCATGTAACAGAGGATTTTAATCAGATTGTCTCTAACATAGATCGCGGGTGTAATTAGTAACTGATGTGCATCAGATTTCTGTACTGTTTATAACACCAGATGAATGCATTTCATTTTGTCTCAATGTTCAATTCAACTCAGTTTATTCCAAAAGCTTATAGGAGTCATAACATACATGTGTTAAACACAGTTAAATTAGTTATACAATGTAGTTAGAAAACGGAGACTGAACAATGTGAAATAGTTTCACTCCTTGTCATAAATCGTGCAGTTAAAAAATGTACATATACTATACAAGATACATGTATAACACAATAATATTACTATCAGCTGTCAGGCCTGGCAGTGGCAATACACAAAAATGTACATGTTCTATACAAGATACATGCATAACACAATAATATTACTATCAGCTGTCACGCCTGGCAGTGGCAATACACAAAAATGTACATGTTCTATACAAGATACTTGTATAACACAATAATATTACTATTAGCTGTCACGCCTGGCAGTGGCAATACACAAAAATGTACATGTTCTATACAATATACATGTATAACACAATAATATTACTATCAGCTGTCAGGCCTGGCAGTGGCAATACACAAAAATGTACATGTTCTATACAATATACATGTATAACACAATAATATTACTATCAGCTGCCAGGCCTGGCAGTGGCAATACACAAAAATGTACATGTTCTATACAAGATACATGTATAACCCAATAATATTACTATCAGCTGTCACGCCTGGCAGTGGCACTACACAAAAATGTACATATTCGATACAAGATACATGTATAACACAATAATATTACTATCAGCTGCCAGGCCTGGCAGTGGCAATACACAAAAATGTACATGTTCTATACAAGTTACATGTATAACACAATAATATTACTATCAGCTGTCACGCCTGGCAGTGGCAATACACAAAACTTTACCAAGAGTATTTAGTTGTTTTAAATTCCTTACAGACAGTCCATAATCCATGAACGTCAGTAGATGTTTACACAGTTCTCAGCATAGACAATGAGCTATATTCAGATCATTGCTTGTCTATTCCATCCTTGCGGATTGCAGAGTTATCTTCTCTTTGGAGCAGGTATTGATTGTTACGTCACTTGTTTGTGAGAGTAACGTCATCAATTTTTGAGAAAACGACGTAATTTTCTCACACAAACCAATGACGTAACAATCAATACCTGCTCCCAAGAAGAGATAACTCTGCAATACGCAAAGACGGAATAGAAGTACGATGGCCTGTCTATAGGTTGCAATTGTTATGTAACGTCAGCATAAATATTAATGAAAGGTTCAAGACAAAGTTTGAAAAATATCCATCAATTATGCACACACAAAAAGTTTATAAACTTAAACATTATGCAATGAATGAAAGAACGTCGCTTAAATAACTATTTCCTCGGGTTTGTCCAGACTTCGCTTCGTTATCCGGGGAGTTATTCTTCTATCAATGATGTGTTAGTCTGTAAACTAACACACCCTTTTAGGCTAACTACCTTAGCGGTGTCCTCAATGTCCTTGATAAATCAGGTGAGAAGTAGGCGGGGCTTGTACTAACCTGTCCTCACCTTCTTGACCCCGATTATAAGACTTTGACAGAGGTAACACTTTTAACGATCAAATATATTTTCGGATTTTGCTTTTTGTTTTAGAATTTTGACTTTAGAACATACATCTAGGCTAACTTTTGGTACAATAAACCAGTTGAAGTATGAAATTTCAGGATAATGCCAGTTTCTGGTAACCAAGATTAGGTCTATACACCTGAGTGAGGAAATCCAGAATCCCTTAAGGATGTACACCTCTGAGAAGTCAAAACATTTGCAGAACAAATTTATACAATTTCTTCCAAGTGTGTTATCAGATATGTGTGAACGTTTGTAGAATTGATAAAAAATATTATTTTCTTTTAAATTATGGAAGTAAAATTTCTTAATCTTATTCTTTTAACTCAGAAAGTCGATTTAAGTTACCCCTACTTCTTATTTTATAATGAAAAAATACTCATTTTTTCACCATTTTTTGCAGATATAAAAAGTTCTGCTATTAAACTTTTTTTAATATGTAATGAATCGATAGAAAATGTGTTTCTCTTTCTTAAACAGCCACAAAAATGGGGGGTCCGTGTGCTTTTTTTTTTGACCAATTATTATTTGCGTTTTTTTCACTTTTTTCGGGGTCGAAAAAAAAAGTGCTACAATTACACTAAATAAGTAAAAAAAAATACTTATAATGTATAATATTTTTATCATATTGAACATTATTTAGTTGTACAGCAAAATTAAACCTGCTACATTTGTACAATTAAAATGGCGACACAATGACAATTTAAGTGATCAATCTAGTGTCAAAACAGATGACATTTTTGCCTTTTGTGAAACGCAAGAAATACACATAAATACACATTTTCAAAATGGTCGCCGAATTGGTCATTTTTTGAAATTCTCGTAAAAAAAAGTTCTACAAACAACAGACATCTAGTTTTTTTTACATATTTTTCGGATGCGTGTTTGCTTTTAAACTTGATCATAATTTGTTAAATATTACAAAAACCCGTTACACCAGATCAAAACGAGACTTGAACGTGATTTAAACCTCAGAAGCCCACACTTCAACTGTATTATAAGATCAAATATGAAATCGATTATAGTATTTACTTGATTTTCTGTGTTACAGGTGTGTGTCCTTCTGGGCAGTGGGGTGACACGTGTCAAAACACGTGCAGCGCTCAGTGTTTCACCTCAACTCCGTGTAGAGAGACGACATCGGTTTGTGGATGTCAACAGACCACCGGACGCTGTCAAACGTGCAACCAGGGCTATTTCGGGGAGAACTGTACCTTTCCATGTTCTGATTCGTGCACAGTCGGTTGTAACCGAGCTAACGGCGAGTGTGCAAATGTTGGGGATTGTTCTAATTGTTTAAACGGAGAAAACAGCTGCGTGTCCGGAAAATGCACGGCGTGTAAACATCAGATGTTCGGCGAGACATGTGACACTGCTTGTTCCTTCTGTGATCGTGGCTGTGAACAAGATAATGGTCAGTGTTACCCTGAATTCTGTGCCAATTGCGAAGGTGGGGTCGCTAACTGCGATACTACGAACTTTGTGTGTGTCGGGACCTGCATATCCGGGACCTATGGGAACGATTGTCAACAAACATGCGCACAATTCAGTGGAATAAGTAATTGCATCACGTGTATAGAGACCACGGATCCGATGACATGTGGGGCGTGTAGCGAGGGGTATTACAGCGCCGTGACGTCATGTTCGCCATGCAGCGACGGATGTGTAAGCAACAGTTGTGCGGCAACCGATGGGTCATGCCTGCAGGGCTGCATATCCGGTAGAGGCGGCCGGATGTGCGATCAGTTTAAGTGTGAGGTCAGCAACTGCGCCACGTGTCAGACAAACCAACATCTACAGTGTTTGACATGTAACTCTGGGTATTATCTAACGAGTCCAGCATGTACTCGATGTCATGAGAATTGCATTTCCCGTTCTTGTGACGTCACTTCCGGTAGATGTTCGTTTGGATGCGTTGATGGCTGGTACGGTGATAAATGTGAAAATAAATGCGGAAATTGTTCTGGAATCGCGTGTGACCGAGATGTCGGGTCGTGTATCGGCTCGTGCGTGCCGGGCTACACTGGTAGCTCATGCAAAGACCAATGCAGCTCAAAATGTCTGCTGTCATGTGACAAATTCACAGGTACGTGTAACGCTTGTCCAAATGGAAAATATGGCGAAACGTGTGACTACCAGTGCACAAGTACATGTAATGACATTTCGTGTGAACAATTGACTGGAAACTGTATTGCTACGTGCCAAACGGGTTACTATGGTGCGCAATGCAGCACGCCTTGTTCTACAAATTGTGTTAGTTCTGTTTGTGACAAGATCGGGGGACGATGCACTATCGGATGCAACAGTGGTTACCATGGCGACTTATGTTTAGATCAGTGTCCAGTGAGGTGTTTTCCACGCACGTGCTTCAGGAGTACAGGACAGTGCAGCAACGCTTGTATCCAAAGCTTCCATGGGGCATTCTGTAATGAAACCTGTAGTTCCAGCTGTGAGGGCGGAACATGTCAGAAATCTTCAGGCTACTGTTCCCAAGGCTGTAAATCTGGGTTCTGGGGTAACACTTGCGCAGATCAATGCGCTACAGGATGCGCAGCGCGTTGTGTACAGACCTTGGGTGTTTGTTTAGCTGAAGACGGTTGTCGGGATGGTTTTTTCGGCAATTACTGCAACATAACATGCAACGACAGATGCGCAGACAACAAGTGCTTACAAACCAATGGCGACTGCGAAGGTAGGTGCGTGGCTGGATATTATGGGCTGTTCTGTAACAATGAATGTAAAACATGCGCAGGGGGTCTATGTAATAGGGACACGGGAAAATGTGACGGACAATGTTTAAACGGTTACCATGGCGACAGCTGCCTGTTTAACTGTAGCACCCAGTGTTTTGGATCGTTATGTGATAAAACTACCGCTAAGTGTCAGGGGTCGTGCGTATTTGGTTACCATGGAGATTATTGTGATCGGACATGTAGTCAAACGTGTGCGACTGGAGGGTGCGTTAAATTGACTGGCGAGTGCTTGGGAGGCTGTACCCAGGGCTACTATGGTAGCTACTGCAACATGACATGCGCAGATGTTACCGGGCAACCACAGTGTGTCACGTGTTTAGCATCAAACACCGGCTACACGTGTAGTCAGTGTTCATACGGGTTCTATGCTGACGGCACATGTAAGTTATGCAACCTGGGATGTCTGAGTAGCGAATGCTACGGTAATAACGGCACGTGCACATCTGGGTGTAATGTAGGTCGCACAGGCGCTAAATGTGACGAGATTTGTAGTAATAATTGCGCGGGAGCCGTTTGTGAAATAGATGGCGTCTGTAAATTCGCGTGCGTCAGCGGCTATTACGGGACGTACTGTAATCAGACGTGTGGGAAATGTACATCCGGGACCTGTGGGCGCACTGATGGAACATGCAACGTTTCCTGTCTGAATGGTTTCTATGGGATCCAGTGTAAAGATATATGTTCGACGTCTTGCAGCTCAAGGATATGTAACCAGAATAGCGGTAAGTGCCTTGCTTGCCCAGACGGTACCTGGGGTTTCTCCTGTGAGCACCAGTGTAACCGATGTGATGGCCCCTGTGATCAAGACACAGGAGTCTGCCGTGGGGTATGTATTGGCAACACGCATCACGGGGACTACTGTAACGTCACGTGCAGTTCTACTTGTGTCAACAACAACTGTCAGAAAGCTGACGGACGTTGTTCCGGAACCACCTGCGTAGATGGATATTTCGGCGACTTCTGTTCGTCGGGATGTGAAACTAACTGTAGAGATGGTCGCTGTGACAAGACCACGGGCCACTGTGAGGGTGAGTGTGCTATAGGTTTCCATGGAGATTTCTGCACTTCTGCCTGTCCTTCGCAATGTCTCGATCTCTTGTGTAGTAGATTTACTGGTGTCTGTGTAAGGGGTTGTGTACCGGGTTACCGTGGCGACCAATGCAGTTCTACGTGCAGCTCCCAATGTGGGGATAACACATGTAACCAGCACACGGGTGCGTGCGAAGGCACGTGCGTAAATGGATACTTTGGTCCATTCTGTAACATTTCGTGTAGCAATTGCTTGGACGGAAGATGTGGCAAAACGGACGGTACATGTTTGGGCCTTTGTAGATCTGGTTTCCATGGCGACAAGTGTCTAACGCAATGTACCAACGCATGCGTAGGACCAATCTGTGAAAAATTGAGTGGAAAGTGTTTAGGGGCCTGTCAGAACGGTTTTTATGGCAACTTTTGTAATATATCGTGTAGCACGAACTGCCTCAACGGAATTTGCATAAAGTCCAGTGGTGTGTGTGGATCCGGTACGTGCGCCACTGGATTCTATGGATCCTACTGCAACATGACATGCGTAGATGTAACTGGTGACGTCAGATGCACTCAATGTCAGGGTGTGTCAAACAATTACTATTGCATCGACTGCAGTACAGGGTACTACGCCGACAACACGTGTAAACTCTGCAGCGCGGGTTGCTTGAACGGCCAGTGTTTCGGAAACAATGGAACGTGCGAGTCCGGATGTATCACTGGCAAGCGCGGGCTTATGTGTGATGCTGACTGCAGTACCAGTTGCCAGGACAACAAATGTAGTGTGTCTGGCGTATGCACTGTCGGATGCGTTGTGGGAAAATACGGCGCCTACTGTGACCAGAACTGCGGAGGTTGTACGTCCGGTAGGTGTGACATCACTACCGGTAACTGTGACAGCCCCTGTGTCACCGGCTACCACGGGGGTCAATGTAAGGATGTATGCTCAGGCTCCTGTAAAGATTCAATATGTAATAAAGCGGACGGTCGCTGTGGAAACTGTAATGCCGGGAAATGGGGATTTTATTGTCAGTTCACGTGCCCGAATTGTGCTGCGGGGATTTGTTATCAGGACACGGGCGCATGCTTAGGTCTTTGTGCTGACACTTCCTTCTATGGTAGCCACTGCAACGAGAGCTGCAGCAACTTGTGTGCCGACAACCGGTGTCAGAAAGACGACGGCCGATGTATCGGAGCCTGCATTGGAGGCTACTGGGGCGAGGATTGCTTCACGCGCTGTGACCTAAACTGCAAGACGGGAATGTGTCAGAAGGCTAACGGATACTGTTCGGGTGAGTGTGCACTAGGATTTTATGGTAATTTCTGCAACTCGACCTGTCCTACCTCTTGTAGTTTAGTATCATGTGACAAAACTCTGGGATCCTGTACGGATGGATGCAAGTCTGGTTTCCATGGCACTTATTGTGAGCATGCGTGTAGTGACGGGTGTCTGTTGAGTTGTTACCAGACCGGCGGAGAATGCGACGCGACTGCGGGTTGTAAACCCGGACGATTCGGGCCCTTCTGTGCCGACGGATGTAGTCAATACTGTCTCAATAACAACTGCGACCACATCACCTCACACTGTATAGACGGATGCATGCCGGGATTTTGGAGTTCAACTTGCAACGAAACGTGTGATACAACTCGCTGCGCCGACCCGAACTGCGACCCGGCGGACGGAAGTTGTCGCGGTGTGTGTCAAGCTGGGCTCTATGGCGCTAACTGTTCACTGATCTGTAGCGCTAATTGCGAGAATAAACTCTGCGATCAGGCGACGGGGCGGTGCAGTGGAAACTGTAATGCGGATTACTATGGTCCCATGTGTGATCAAGACTGTAGCAAATGTGCAACTGGGTTATGCGACCGTTCCAGTGGAGCATGCACGGGTGAGTGTGACCCCGGCTACCAGGGAACGTTCTGTCAGGACAGGTGCAGCAGTAGTTGTGCGGGAGGGACCTGTAATAAGCTGACAGGGCGTTGCGTGAATGGTTGTGTGAACGGCTACTATGGCGATCTGTGTACCGAAGTCTGTAGCTCGTTGTGTGACAAGAGTTTATGTCACCAGAACACGGGACGTTGTGATACGTGTACCCCGGGCAGGTTCGGAGAGACGTGTACCAGTTCTTGCGACCCACACTGTGGCGGGAATATTTGCGACCGGAACACGGGTCAATGCGTATCGGGGTGTACTGTCGGATATCACTCGATGTATTGTAACCAAACATGTGCGGCCGGATGTTCCTCAAATATTTGTGACTGGCTGACTGGAAACTGTGCGAGTGGATGTACAAATGGTTACTACGGAAGTCGATGTAACAATTTGTGTGATGCCTCCTGTCGGAACAGCGCGTGTGATCAGACAAGCGGTACGTGCACGCAGGGATGCGTCAATGGACGTTATGGAGACACTTGTACGTCACAATGTGTCAACTGTGACACGTGTGACCGAGTAACTGGTAACTGTGTATGCCCAGAGGGTAAATATGGCAGTGACTGCACTCTCAACTGCGCAGGCACGTGCCAGAAGTCGCTCAATCTGTTTCCGGTTTGTGAGCGTGTGACAGGACGCTGCTCTTTGGGCTGTGAATTAGGGTTCTACGGTGACATTTGCGATCGTAATTGCATTTTGCCCCATCGATGTTTATCTGCAGGATGCGCTCAGACAAACGGAGCATGTATAGGTGCATGCATCACCGGATGGAGTGGCTCCTGGTGTAACCAACTCTGTGGCGCCCAGTGTGTGGACAGCGTGTGTGACCAGACTTCTGCGCACTGTACCCGCGGTTGCCTGAACGGTTACTATGGAGACGTTTGCGATATGCAATGTCCAAACTGCTTGACATGTGGTCGGAATGGAGTTTGTCTAAGGTGTCAGTCAGGGAAGTACGGAACAAATTGTCTGTCTAGCTGTCCTAACTGTCAGACGTCCACGTCATCAAATATCACGTGCAACGTCAGTTCTGGGATCTGTTTGCACGGCTGTAAAAATGGTTTCTATGGGGACAAGTGTAATAGTTCGTGCTCTAATTGTCTAACCTGTAACGCGATGGGTGCATGTTTGTCTTGTCCCGCCGGAAAGTTTGGCGAAAACTGTCTGTCCAACTGTCCGAACTGTCGGACGTCGTCCACCTCCAGCAGCACGTGCAATGTGGGCGATGGGACTTGCATGTTTGGCTGTAAAACTGGTTTCTATGGCGACAGGTGTAACAGTGCGTGCAGCACAGGCTGTAAAAATGGCTGTAATACATTAACAGGAATATGTATTGATGGATGTCGCGCAGGTTTCTATGGCAACAGATGTGAAGGATCATGTTCGGCTTGTTACACCTGTGATGGGGCCGGTAATTGCCTCCAATGTTTCGCCGGAAAGTTTGGAGCTCAGTGTTCATCAAGTTGTCCAAATTGTCGAGCGGTTGACTCATCTGTAGAAACGTGCGACAAAGGTTCCGGCATCTGTCTCAATGGCTGTAACGCGGGTTACTTTGGCAACAGATGCAATACGGATTGTAACAGTGAATGCTTCAGTGGTTGCACGAGCTCCGGTTCCTGTATTAATGGCTGCAATGTAGGTTTCTATGGTAACAAGTGTGAAAATACTTGCAGCATTGGTTGTGCTAATGGTTGCAATTTAGCGACTGGGATTTGTGTAGGAGGCTGTCTTAGTGGTTACTATGGCAGCACGTGTAACGTTACTTGTAGTAGTGGTTGTGTTGGTGGCTGCGGTGTGAGTTCAAATATATGTGATGGTGGTTGTCGGGACGGTTTCTTTGGCGACAGATGTGATATCACGTGCAGCATTGGATGTCAGGGCGGTTGCGTCACTGGTACAAGTACTTGTAAAGATGGATGTGTCGATGGTTTCTATGGCATCAAGTGTGACGGTATCTGTAGCGATGGATGTCAAAATGGGTGTACTGCTGGCACCAGTGTTTGCGCGGGTGGCTGCAAGACTGGTTACTATGGTGATAGATGCGATGGACGATGCAGCAACGGCTGCCAAGCTGGCTGTGAAACAGTATCTGGTACATGCATAAATGGCTGTATCAATGGTTCCTATGGCGATAAATGTAACAATAGTTGCAGTATTGGTTGTCGCAGTAACTGTGATGCATCCACGGGAATATGTATCGGCGGATGTGTAACTGGTTTCTATGGCAACAAATGTGATACAAACTGCAGTAAGGGATGTTCCTCTGGGTGTGATGCAGTCAATGGACTTTGTGTTGGAGGATGCCGTTTCGGTTTCTATGGCAACAAATGTCAGTTCCCTTGCAATGTTGGATGTCTGGAAGGATGTGAAGCAGGAACAGGATTATGTATCGGAGGATGCCATCCTGGTTATCATGGAAACATGTGTGAATATAACTGTAGTTTGAGCTGTGTTGGCGGATGCTCGCAAGGAACCAGTTTGTGTACAGGTGGATGTCGGGAAGGTTGGTTCGGACAGAAGTGTACTTCGGGATGTTCGAGCTGCGGCACAGACAACGGACGTGTGAACTGTAACGTCACGTCGGGGGCGTGTCTGTTCGGCTGCAAAGCAGGTTACTATGGCCCTTACTGTAACTTTACATGTCATGACACGTGCAAACCAAATGCATGTCAAATGGGCAACGGATACTGTCTTTCTGGCTGTAGTGACGGATACTGGGACGACAAATGTGATCGGACGTGTCTGTCCCTCTGCACAAACGGGACTTGCAGACAAGCGGACGGATACTGCCCTTCTACAGGTGCGCACTCGCTTTCTAAGCTGCTCTGTCTGCCGTATTCTTGCTGTAGTTTCGCTTTTTTGCGTCTTTTGTTTTTGCTTACGATGGAAACCTGTAACGGCATACAAACAACGCGCAGACGTCGACAAATACTCTTTGTTTTTCTTCTAATTTCTCTCAGATCCGCGTAAACGACGTATATGTCTTTCTTTTATTTCAATCTTTCCTATTCTATAAATATATACATTGTTGTCTGATGTGGTGACGTCACTGAACAGATTTCCATTGTACACTGTATATTAATTAGTCTATTGTGTTCTGACCACTAGTCTAAAATATCGTGTGCGATGTTTGACCACACTGACCACTCTTTGTAGTGTATTCACCAGTCCTAATGCATGCTAATGATGTCTTCTTCCCATAACCACGTGGCCCAATTGGTCAGCGTGCGTGCGCACGCATGTGTTTAATTCCAGTAGATGCACTTGTTTTAGTTAAACTGGTGGTGGTTTGAATTGATATTGATGTTAAGTGTTTTTCCATTTGGTGTTTGTTTGTGGTGGGGGATTGCTTAAGTTGATTTATATTAATAATGATTATCAATATTATAAAAAAAATGAAAAACATGTTATTATATGTAATGCCTTATTAAGTCCATGAAGATTAATACATACATTATTACATGTCTGAGGAGATTTGTATTTCAGATTCTAGGTGAGTAAGCATGGTTTTATCAGGCAAGCTTGTGTACTTTCTGTAAATCATTTTCTTTTTGCGAACAACTTTTTTTCGCGGATGTCATGTGGTTACGAGACTTGTTCGCTGGTTAAACTTAACTTCTTGATCGGACGAAATACTGTAAAGAGAGATCTAGCCAAAATCAGACAACAGAAAAATCGTTATAACTGGTGTTCCAGGCCACATTTGTCCTTACTAATCTCCGATATTTCCCAATGCGGATTGGGGAAGGGGATTGCTCAATGCAGGAAAGATTTTTTTTTGTAAAATTTTTTGATTTTTTCTAAACTTCGATGCACGATTTCATTAAAGAGATTTATTCATATATTTTACCCGGATTTTTGAAGTTCCGGGTAATAGGTGTTTGATAATTTCGGGTTTCCAGTTAAGTTGCACCAATATTTATTGTAACAATGTTAACTTATTTCAAACGAAAAAAAAAGGTTTAATCTTCCAAATAGAGTTAAATGATTTACGGAAGTTACACACACGCTGGTTATATTTTGGTTGATGCAGCAAATTGGAAATAATTATATATTGCACATGATGTCAGACTATAGTCCCAATGTATAGGTTATAGTGCTTTAGATACATTTATTGGGAGCCTTAAGTTAGATCCTACTTCCTGGTTCCGTGTAAAAAAACGGAACTTGGAACCAGACCCTAGTTCCGTGTAAGAAAAACGGAACTTGGAACCAGACCCTAGTTCCGTGTAAGAAAAAAGGAACTTAGAACCAGACCCTAGTTCTGTGTAAGTAAAATGGAGCTTAGAACCAGACCCTAGTTCCGTGTAAGAAAAACGGAACTTGGAACCAGATCCTAGTTCCGTGTAAGAGAAAAAGTAACTGGAGTTTGGAATTCAGTTCCGTTTAAGACCAATTCCTTTATAGAGGCTATGGTTGTTTTAATTTGTGTCTGAAAAGTTGTGGGTTCGATTCCTCTGCTTGATTCAAATATAACTGTACACCTTGGATTTTGCGTTTTGAGAGGTAGACAGGGAAAGAATTACACATAAACAACATTATACATTAACTATACGGAACTGGGGTCTGCTTCCCAGTTCCGTTTATCTAAAACGGAACAAGCAACTAGGAACCAACTTCAGGCTCCCAATTTATTAACGAGCACGACCACGTGATTTCTCTATATATAGAGTCACACTCCTGATACACGATAAAGTAACGGAGGACGATGTAACAAACATCCCACTGAATAAGCATTTTCAATATTTTATATTGCTGACATTGCATCAATATTTTAGATTGCTGACATTACATCAATATTTTAGATTGCCGACATTACATCAATATTTTAGATTGCTGACATTACATCAATATTTTAGATTGCCGACATTACATCAATATTTTATATTGCTGACATTGCATCAATATTTTAGATTGCCGACATTACATCAATATTTTAGATTGCTGACATTACATCAATATTTTAGATTGCCGACATTACATCAATATTTTAGATTGCTGACATTACATCAATATTTTAGATTGCCGACATTACATCAATATTTTATATTGCTGACATTACATCAATATTTTAGATTGCCGACATTACATCAATATTTTATATTGCTGACATTGCATCAATATTTTAGATTGCCGACATTACATCAATATTTGAGATTGCCGACATTACATCAATATTTTAGATTGCCGACATTACATCAATATTTTAGACTGCTGACATTACATCAATATTTGAGATTGCTGACATTAAATCAATATTTGAGATTGCCGACATTACATCAATATTTGAGATTGCCGACATTACATCAATATTTTAGATTGCCGACATTACATCAATATTTGAGATTGCCGACATTACATCAATATTTTAGATTGCTGACATTACATCAATATTTTAGATTGCTGACATTACATCAATATTTTAGATTGCTGACATTACATCAATATTTGAGATTGCTGACATTACATCAATATTTGAGATTGCTGACATTACATGAATATTTTATATTGCTGACATTCCATCAATATTTGAGATTGCTGACATTAAATCAATATTTGAGATTGCCGACATTACATCAATATTTGAGATTGCCGACATTACATCAATATTTTAGATTACCGACATTACATCAAAAACAGTACGGCAGTATTTAGAAAGTTACCGTTTAGAATAAAACAAAATACATATTTTGTCATAAAATATGTTAACCACTCGGATGTGATTTTGTAAATCGTGATCCAATGCAGACAGTGAATATAAATCCACACTCCGTAAATATAAAAGCACGATCTAAGGACGATAACTCCTAAAAATGTGTGTTATCTCGAAAACATTTTGCCTCTAACTTGAACTTGAAATATTTGGTTTCGTTTGTGCTGTATGACAAATTTGTTATATATTTGGTACCGGATTATATCATCTGTTCAAATTTCATTTTTTTCTGTAATTATAAGATAAATTATGAAAATGCACCTGCATAAAAATCATATAACAACTAATAGTATAGAAAGTCATATAATCCAATCATTTACATCGGAACTAACTGTTTCTAGTGTAGTCAGTCGTCCGCCCCGGAATTAGATAGTCTATATTTAGTTAACTATTCTTGAGACAAAGTTTTTTTTTATATCTATATAAGTTAATAACCAATTCAAAGAAAGTATCGGCAACATGTTTAAATAAAAAATGTGATTTAATTATGAAGATAAACAACTCTTGTTCATCTATATTTAATCGAAATAGCAACGACATCTTATAATAATTCTGTTTATTTCCATAATGCAACCTTACGGAAGCCGTTTGGTGCCTTCGGAGTATTTTATGTCGGAATTTTACGACATCCTAGCTTTATCTCGTAATTTGATCTCGAATAATATGACTTAAGGATACCTGTACCACTGCCAAAAAAATAAACTATACATTCAAAACTTACATTTCTGGTATGACTTTAGATTTGATAAATCATTTTTGAAAAGAAAACTATACCTTGTGGGACAAAATGAGATAAAAAATAAATAACAGAATCACGTGTTCTGACCCTTAATGAATATGCGCGGCCAGGCCGGAATTCGGGCTTGTACTTCAAAATCGATGTACCATTGGTGAAACCATTTGATCTAACTGGTCGACGGAAGTGTAATAGCCCAGGTGTGCTACAGTTATATCACAACGGAATATAAGGTGAGGTTAGTGTGTAAAGAAAAAACAACAGCAGTGTAGTGGGACAGCGATCCTTAATTAATAACGTCGATGTTCACCGTGCTCATTATAAGGGGAAATAACTCCTGTAGGAGGCTTCCGTACATTTAAATATGTTGTTAATTAATGTAGAAATGTCGTCTGTAAATTTATGAACTATATGTATGCATGTTTTTTACTGTTTCTCTGTGTATGACAGTTGTGACGAAACCGGACGGTACTAAAAACCTCCCTCTAATTATCGGGCTGTCGGTGGCTGGGGGGATACTCATCCCCTTCAGCATCGCTATCATATGCTGCTGTCAGCGAAGGTGAGTTTGTTATTAATTGTTTGTTGATTATAAATGAAACATTCATTAAATTATTGAGAGGTAAAATCAATAAATTATTGAAAGTGATTGGTTGGTCAATTGATATGTTAATTATTTGATAGATTCCTTTATTTATTAATAATAAGATTGATGAGAGAAACTATTTGTTCTTTTGTTCATATCTACGTTTATGTATTTTTCGATCTATGGAAATAATTTGAACTAGAAAAATTGGCAAAAATGTATAACAAAACAAAACAAATATTGGATATTTGAGAGACTCCTGGCCGTTGACAGGTTGTTCGATGATTATTTTAGTTTCTTTTGGCATGTTTGATTCTCAAATAAGTTTATAATAATTATACAGTTACATGATTTTGCTATAAAGACGCCTTTGTTGAACCTTTTATTCACTCATCTTCACATTATACAAGCATCGGTTTGAGATTTTCTCAGCCTATCACACAGGAGTGACACTTTCTATTTGCATAAACATTCAGATTCTGATACCAATAAATAAACCAATCACTTGGGATTCATCTTAAATATTTTATCTTTTAATTCGAGAGATTGTTTTCCTATTCGGTCTACATATAAGCGCATGAGCCACGTTTAGGACATAATCGTTCATTGGTAAAAACAGGTACTGTACACGTTTAGACAATTAGTGTTTTTCTTAATTGTTAATAAGTGTAGTAGGGTCGCTTTTCAGTTTTACATGACAAAATAAATCATAAATCTTAGGACGTATGCACCTGCCTACCCAATCAAATATTCCGGAAGTGCAGGAAGGATAACTCTATCTGACTTCACATTTGTAGAAGTGACAAATTCAGGGGCCATAACTCGGCTTGGATTAAGCATATATTTAATAGGACACTAGAATGATTCTTCCTGTAATACATTACGTTGAATGTTAACAGTCACGGACAGGATCAGGCGACTCTGGTGAACGGGAATGTAGCTCTGGTAGCTAATGGCGACAGCAAAGGTAAGGTCACATGATGTCATCACTCAATTATTAAAAAGTCATATCTGACATAGAAACTGGTGTTAAGTTAACGAACATGAGGTAACTTTATTGAATATTACACAATAACGCTACCGGGCTTTATTAAGTTTGTCATCATTAGCAATGTGTGTTATAGGACCATAACAACATTTGCTAAAACATTCATTGCTTAAATATTACAAGGCTCCACAATAACCTTTCGACTTAGCTACAAGACTGCTTGGCAAAATCACGCAAACCTATCTCAAGTCAACGACTTCACCATTCATAGCGCAATGGAGTTGAAAAGTGAGTGAATTACCAATGCATTCAATATAACAATCCCGAAGCTAAATGTAAGTGACAGGTACTTGTCGTTATCGTATAATGACGTCATTATGACGTATACCTATCGCCATTTGTTAATCCGTCTTTTGATTTCACAGAGTATATCGGCGGGCTGGACAACATAAGCTCCAGAAGTTTTACTGGCTCCAAGTATGGACAGGTCGGGGAGCAAATTAGTATCCACGCCCCACTCGGTCATCTCACCCACAGGGTAAGACGTCACTTCCGGGATAACTGGTCATTCAGAGTGTCATATATATATATATATGACAGTGCATCTTGCGCAAGAATAGGTCCTCTACATCCGTTTCCCTTGTCCGCGATGCTCTCAGCTGAATTGCTACCTTCGGCTGTCTTTAGCCGAGGGGAATATTGGTTTTATATAATAGCTATATTTTCAATTATAGTACATGTATATCAATTCTATCTTCTTGTAATATGATGTATATGTACGTGTAACTGTTCTGTTTCACTGTGCCTTGAAAAAGGAGCGGATCGCTCCGAAAATTTGACAACCTAAACTTGTCCACACTGTTGGAATTACTTCTTTGCCCCATATATATCAGGCGGAAGTGCCATTATCCGTCATCACTGAGTCCAGATTAGTTGACCCTCGGTCGCCATTAATTTAGTGAGATATTGAATTGTATGATTATGCAATTCCTTAGTAAAACTGATTATTTGCCAATAAATGTTATTCATAAATTATATTTATGAAAATGGAACCAATGAGAGACACTAAAAATAGGGTACTCAGATGTACATGAGTCACGTGTAATTCTGCGGAAAGGAATTTGTTTTCTGTACTATATCGTGAGAGGCGACTTATTTGGGGGAACACCAGAATCGGATACTAGGCGCACTTTGAACAATCAAATTTAAATCTGGATATGTATTCGTCGTGTTCACCATTTTCTTTGCTTTTATAAACCCCAATTATCTTCCCTTGTACATATATAATCTCTACCATTTAACCATATGCATGTATAAGCTTATTGTACCTGATGGAAGGCGTAGAGAATTCAGCATCCCATAAATTTAAAAAATGAATCCAATATGCTACATTTCTGTATCTTTCGATATTTTGTGGGAAGCAGTGCAACATATATTCGACTATTTGCTGTTCTAGTTATTGCCCTGGCCTAGCCGACAACAACGGCATACTTTAAATTGTTATGGGTGCCTCGGTAGCCGTGATTGGTAACGCGTACAGTCATTGTCACTATATGCTTATAGTCACTCTCCTATAACATATATACATGTACAATGTATCATGATTGCTTTGTACCTATAAGTCTTAAGACTTTTGGTGAATAAAGAACTTGAACAGTCATTGTACTACTGTGTGCTATCAAGCGTGAGCTTCAGACCACTCGCTCTCCCAAGAATTTCGGTTCGATCCCCAGCGGTGGTGGATCTAGAGCTTATGTTTGTTGTTGACAATTGTACACAACGTTAAATAAAGATTATTATTATTTATTATTATTAAGAAAGAAAAAAAATGTTAATTGCTTTTTTATGTAAAAACGATAAACTGCATAAATGTGGCAGACCTACTAGTATAACTGCCAATTCATCATGGCGCGTAATATCGCGCACCACTGTCGCGCCCCATTCAGTGTGTCTGCGACACCTATGGCAGTTATACCGTTATGTCTGCCACATCTAAGCAGTTTATTGCTTACGTATTTTCCCCGCTATTTGATCGACCTGTGTTTTTATTTGCGCATAGATATATGTGTTTACAGTAAATCCTCATTATAATGACACCACTTGTCCAGGAAAATGTTATAACGGGGTTAGGCAATAGATTGAGGGAAATGTATGAAGGAATTCTTAAGAATAGAAAAAGGGCATTAAAAAATGTTGGCGATGGCAAATGAAAGGAGGGACATTCTACCGAGGTTTCAAGATGTATTGCCAAATATGCTTCAGGAGTTATATATACATAAATACATGTGTGACAGGTTTTAATTGTACATAGGATTGAGGTCGCCTTCTAGCTTCGAGCTAGAGGGAATTTCCCTTTAGCTCAGTGGTAGTGCGTCCGACTAGGAACCTAGGGATCGCGGGTTTGATCCCCAGTGGAAGCACACTACTCTCTTTCCTTTTACAAATGGTGTCCATGGCCCTCCCTGTGGTGACAGAGAGTTACAAACTGGGTTGTGGTGTTCGAGGGCGAACACATTTAAATAGGGGGCATTAGTGTGATAGGTTTTAATTGTACATAGGATTACGGTCGCCTTCTGGTTTCGAGCTAGAGATAATTGCCCTTTATCTCAGTGGTAGAGCACCCCCTGGAAATCGCGGGTTCGATCCCCGGTAGAAGCACACTTTTTTTTTCTTGTTACAAATGTTTATAAAACTGACCTTTTTATTTTTGTAGTCGGCCGACGCCCACAGTGGCAGCCATGTTTCATCATCGTACAATACCAGCTTCAACCCTACTCCACACCTGACCGGAAGTCACTTGGGCGTATCTCATTTGTCCGCGGACAGAATTGTCATGTCATCGTTTGTCCTCCTAGACGGAACCAAAGGGGTCAAAGTTGAAGATTTCTCGGCTTTCATGACACAAATGAAGATGTCAGATCGAGGCTTTGAGATGGAGCTTGCGGTAAGTTGATTAGCATACGTTATATCCATCTCATTCAGAATGTGTTCTGTCTTCTGTCCAATCTATGAGGTTGGTACTAACCTTTAAGTGCAGTCTAAAGGAAGTCTTACTCAGGAAGTGGCAAAAATGGCCACTTAAATGTGTTTTCCTAATCTCTGCGCATGGTGTAAGCTAGTTCCCATTTGAATTGGCCAAATATATTAGTTTTTGCAGTAATGAGTTATTTAAGAGTGTTTTTTTTAAATTTATTTGGATAGTCATGAAAATAATCAAGTGATTAATCTTACTTTAATATGTGGAGATATTTGGTAAGCACATAATCTGTCTTGATTAAAAGTGTATGCTTTCACATTATGCCGTCGATTTGTGTTACAGATGTCTCCCTTAAGGACGTATGCTACACACTGTGATTTCTGTCAGAGTTTAGGTTACATTGTATATGCTACCTTGCACATTATGCCATGATTTCTGTTATAGTTAAGGTGATATGCTACCTTACACATTTTACATGTGATTTGTGTTATAGTTAAGGTTATATGCTACCTTGCAAAGTATGCCCATGATTTGTGTCAGAGTTAAGGTGATATGCTACTTTCCATATTATACCTGTAATTTGTGTTAGGGTTAAGGTTATATGCTACCTTACATATTATACCTGTGATTGTGTTAGGGTTAAGGTTATATGCTACCTTACATATTATACCTGTGATTGTGTAAGAGTTGTCCGTCTTAGTTTTCATTATGAAGACTATCTTGTGTCATCAATTAATAACAGAATTAATATCCATTAAGCTTATTTAATGGGGTTTTTAATGTGGAACTCTTTTGCTAAAATAAAGTAATGTATTTCGTCACTTTGACGTAGCATACCTGCGATGTACATAGCTTACGTTGCTGTCAGATCGATATCAAAATCAACATCAATATTGTACACAACCCAAAGAACCGAGCAGCAATGTTTTTTAACGATTGTGCGACTTGTCAGTAACGTACACAATAAGTCCCCACTTGTTTCCTACAGACTCTACACCAGGGCCTCCAGCATCCCCATGCGGCCGCCATGCGCCCGGAAAACAGGGCCAAGAATAGGTACAAGGATGTTTACCCATGTAAGTAGCAAGCCACGTCATATTTAGGCCAAGGGAATAATGTATGTTTACTGACCCTAAGGCCGGACCAAACTAGTTTTCTTTAAGTATTACATCGTCTTTATAAGTTTGAAGGGCGTTGTAAAATGTATTCAAGTAAAAGCTATATGTTGAAACTGCAGTTTAAAAGAAAATCTTAATATTTTTGATACAACAATTCACTCTAAGTCCTTATATTTCGCCCTCCTGGCCTTCTTCAATGGCAGAAATCAACGGTAAATTTAAGTAACGCCCATTTCGCTTCAACGGAAGTGGAGGGAAATCTATTTTTGGTCCTTAGGGTCCCATTTATAATATAAAATGAGTTTGTTGCACGTAATTACGATAAATGTAACTGATGGATCTTTGATTGTTGGGGAAAGGGCAACGTAACGTTAAGAGCTTCATTCGCACTCCTTCTTCGTGAAGGCTTAACTCATTCACCCCTGGATATACATTTGAACTCTTCCAATTCTAAGGTTGGAATAGTTTATAACGAAATTTCAGGGTTGAATGAGTTAATAGGGGACGAAGAGCCATTGCCAAAAGAAATACCACAACTCTGCAATCTCTTTTTGTGCCGCACAACAGTTGGTAATTAAGGTCATGACCTTTTGTTATGAATGACCACTGGAAGGTCATACGAAATCTCGACAGGAGATCTATGACCTTTCGTTTCGTATAGATTGTTCAGTGTACTATAACAACGTAACAACGAGTTACATTATATACAGGTTTATAAGAGATGTAAGGGTACATACAATACAAATTAATGTAAATGGTTTGTATATTTTATCGTATACATGTTTCTTATTTAAATCATCAAAATTGACAGTCACCGATGTTTTCTACTTTGCAGCCATATATATATATCATCATTAGTTTTTAAGGGAGAAGACGGATTTTAAGTTTTTATCTTGAGTCTTATCCAATTTGTATTTTTGCAAATAAAATATGTTTAAAATAATTGTTTCAGCTTTCTTGGTCATTCGAGGTTCAGACTAAATTGTTGTAAACTAAAATTATGAACTTTCATTTCAGATGACCATTCGAGGGTCTGTCTGAAATGCTTGCAAACAAAGCACCTTTCTTGTCCACTAGAGGTAAACTAAAGTTATGACCTTTTTGTGTCATACGACCACTAGAGGTTTTGACTAAATTGTTGTAGGCCAAATGGCGTTATGACCTTTTTGTTTCAGATGACCATTCGAGGGTAATACTGAACGCTGATGACGGTGACTACACAGATTACATCAATGCGTCATATATTGACGTAAGTACACCGATTACGTCAGTAGTGACGTCACTGTACATGTAAATCACAGCTCAAATAAAAAAGTTTGACCAATTATGTGGAAGCAGACACTTATATTAGTTACGGGGAACTTTCGCCCAGTCAAATATTCGCCCTTTACCGATACAATCCATATTCGCCAAGTGCCAATTTCGCCATTCGTGTGTAATTGCTATATATTATTTGTTAAATACTTTTATTTGCTGTCATTAGAAATTCATTGGGGAGGTCGAAAAAGACGAAAATGAAACAGTAGCGAAGGTCCCCGGTACACAGTATTCTGCGTAGCCCTTGTATTGATTACAACATATGGAGACATGTACAGAGTTCAACACATTTCAAAATTCAATGTATTTCCATATATGTCATATTATTATCATGTTGTTAGTCAAACCGCAACCAGAATAATTAAACTTTCAAACGTCAATTATCCGTGTTATATTTTGTTCAGCCTATGAAGTTTTATACCTGTTGGCTTGTGATGTTTGGTTTCGATATCTCGATTTTTTCTGATTTATTTTTATCGACTTTCTGTTCCAGGGGTACCAATCACCCAAAGCTTACATAGCGTGCCAAGGTAATATATTACTATGAAGTTATGACTTTTGTCGGTCTGATATTTCACGGAGCAATACCTTTTACGATTATATATCTGTACTATACGGTAGTTTATTAAGGACACGTTCTTATTTTAGGTAATCTTTTCTTAAAGATAAAGATAAGTTCTCGCGATGAAAATGGATGGCCTAAAAGGGAACATTTACATACATGTACTGTAATGAGACAAACTGAAATTTCGAGCGCTCGAGATCTTAAAATAGAAAAATAATTGTTTGTCTTCAACATACCACTGTAGTAATAAGCTATATCCTTTATCTATATTATGAAATTGAAAATATTTTCATTCGATCTATTTCTGCGGAAATGCATCAACCACGAAATTATTGTAGTGAAATTGGAACATCACGACAAATAGAACTTTTACAGTAAGAGGAAAGAAAACAATACTTTCGTTATTTTTCGTTCTGCTTCGTTTTTCCGTCGGCTTTCAAACTACTTTTACAGTAAAATGAACAAACAGTGTAGATCTCACAAAGTAGCTGCAGTCGTTGACACAGGAACTTAAATTGGTTTTATTTTCATAATTTCAGGCCCCACTGAAAACATGGTGAACGACTTTTGGAGAATGATCTGGCAACTAAACTGTCAGACAATCATCATGGTCACCAACTTGGTGGAGGGAGGGGTAGGTACCGTTGTCATGGTTACCGTTTTGGTATAGGGAGGGATATGTACCGTTGTCATGGTTACCGTTTTGGTAGAGGGAGGGATATGTACCGCTGTCATGGTCACCAACTTGGTGGAGGGAGGGACATATTTGGTTGTCACGATTACTTATTTAGGCGGTCGAGCTTTCCAATAGTGACATAAGGTGTTTCCATGTTATCATATTTGTGTTCACTTTTTGTAGCCAAGGAACAGAACGTTACTTGGTTACTATGTCATTGCTTTCCGTTTCTAGGTTACAAAGTCTGTACGTGTTGCTTGGTAACTGGTTCTGAGTTACCAGTTCGGTGACCTTTTCTTTGTTTATGTTTCCAGGTTACCAAATGTATGCAGTATTGGCCGGAAGAAGGGGAGGAGGTTGTGTACGGTGAATTCACCATAGCTTGTGATGACGTCGAGCGTTATACTGACTTCCGGATATCCAATCTTAATGTCAGCTCGGTAAGTGAAGCTGTTAAAAGTCAATATTTAATGAACTGAGACTAAATGATGAGTTACGACAAGGAAACGACGCATTATTGGAGCATTATTTCGTGTTTAAATAGCGTTGATCACGTTTTTTCATTATTTGGAATTCGAAGAAACCGAAATAAGCATTTTCCTTTAATATTTAGAGCAAATTTATGGTTCGATCTTAGAGATACTGCCTCAAAGTGGATACAAAATAGGCTTATTCGTGAATTGGTCGATATTTTGCTTCTATTTATTTCCTTATGAGGAAATAAGAAACTATGAAAAGTATCAATAGAGTCGCTTCAAACTGCTTTCGCAGAAATGAAGAAATAGAGCGCATAATTGGCGATTAGTCAATACCGAGCTTAATGTATTCCTGTGAATATGACATTTGTTATAGATTCCGCTATCTTCGATATACATTTTATCTTTACTAAGATTCATCAGTTTGGGGGAAATATGTAATATCAAAGTTTTACTTTATACACAAACAATGCACGTATTAAACGTGTCGCGACGTTTCAGGACCGACTGGTCTAATTACCTGAGACTATGATGATTAGTTACGGTAAGGAACTTTGTCGTATATGTTAGGGAATGCTGGGCTTGTAGTGTATCCTGATATTACAGAAAATGTTATCGTCACTGCTTTTCTGTAAATCTCACTGTTATGATACATCTGGTTTATGACTCCTGGACACATTTGTAGTGTTATAACAAATGGTATTATAAGTTTAAGAATGGCTTTAAGGGATATAGCAACTTTCTGGATCCCCGAGACCAGTAGACTTGGCAAAGGGTAATGAGAAACTTGCTATATCCCGAAATCCCTTACTTTACCTGCTTTGTTTTATCGACATAAGAAAATTACAATTGCATTTTTCAAGAACCTACCGAGAGCAATGTTTAAATATACTCTTTCAATATAGTCTGCATTTCTGTCTCAAGATTTACAACACCTGTTTGGGTAATAATCCTTAATCCACCGTTCACCTGATTGGCTAGGTCATGTCCGAGGGAAAGTTATAGAAATTACCGAGGGAGTTAGTCTGCACTCCCGGAGAATGTCTTGTCTGCAGCAGGGGACGTGGGATAGTTTCCGAACTAACACACGGCTGATTGAGAACAAGAGGATTTTATCTCCCTTAACAGCGACGTCAGGACGAAAAAAAATATATAGTCATATTTTATAAAGTAGAAATAATGATATTCATTGAATTTCGATTCCAGAGGACATGGAATTGAAATATGACGGCTGAAAACGAATATTTTTCAATAATTTTACTGGTATCCAGAAAAGGTACTTCTATAAGTCTTTATGTTTCTAGAATGGTGAGATGAAGACGCTGAGACACGCCCAGTTCCTGTCCTGGCCAGACAAAGAAGTTCCCAAATACGTCACGCCCCTTGTAGAGTTCCACGATAAAGTCAAGTCTAGTGATACACCCTGCGTGGTCCACTGTAGGTAAGTAAACTGTGACGTCACCGGATGTTATTTTGTAGCTTCTGTTAATCCGTTCTCTGAATGTTTGGACCAGGAAAGTCCGGAATAGATTGTTTCTAAGACTTCCAGTTTATTTCACACAAAAACTGAATATGTATACATTGAACTGCTTTCAGTTGTCATTTATAGTTAATAAGAATGCAAGCTGGAACCGGACAACGTTCATGAATTGCTTCATGGATACAAATCAAGTTGTTTGTTTGTTTGTTTGGTTGGTTTAACGTTCGCTTCACAATCAAATTGTTCGTATGTAGAGAAGGGATCGAAAGTGATTTTAGGACAGAGATAATGCAATCTGTATTTGGTAGTGTTATATATTGGTAGTGACATGCGGTGGTAAATATGACGAATAGAATTCCTTAGTAGTAAATTTGTCAATAACAACATTAAACATACAGAAAAATATCAATATTTCTATATAATAACCGACAACCCGCTATAATGACCCTCGTTATATTGCCACCAAATAACATTTTGATGAGACTGAATTAATTCTTATTTCATTTGAATTTTTGTTTAAACTCATCCTGAGATTTGTTTTTATCTCGACAGAGCCTTGTTAATTTAGATAATCTAGGACTGTTTCCATGAAATCTGATTTGAAAAAAGAAATCAATCATCAGAAACTTTAGTAGTATTTGCTACATACAATTAACATGTTAACATTTAAATAAAAACACACGGCGTTTTCCTGATGTACTTTCCAGTGCCGGTGTTGGCCGTTCCGGGACGTACATCGCCATGGATTACTTACTGGAGCAGGCGGACACCCAGGGATCCGTGAACGTCCACGAGTGTGTGGCCAAGATGAGGGACAGTCGGGTCAACATGATACAGACTGCGGTAGGTCCAAACAAATATCTAGTACTGACCAGTGGTCAGTTAACCGTACGCAAACTGATTCATCGCACTTTTAACGATATAGTGCACGCTCTGTAATCAGGATTCAGGTTTGTCCAAAAAACAATTAAAAGATACCTGGATACAGTTCCATAACCGTTCAAAAGCATTCCTTTATGAATCTTAAATGAAGGGGTCTCAAAATATTCCATGGACAAATTTCCCTTATTCAAACCTAAAAATAAACCAGTCACCACACCTGAGTTTCAAGTGACTGACGCAGATTACGAAAACGTTGTGTCAACCTTGTCATCTGAACTGAAAATAAATCAATAAAATAAAAGATTATCGTCTTTGTGGGAGGCAACACGATGGTTTGTTTCCCTCAATAAATCATATTTTACTTAGGCTTCTATTTCTAAAACATGCTTAACTTCGGGGAAATAAAGAATCGTGTTTCCCTACAACAAGGCCAATATATGTATTATATGTCAATATGAGCATACAGGTAATTATACCGGTGGAGCACAGTACATTTTGTTCTGGAAAATTTTGGTACGGAAATATTTCTGTAACAGAGCCCCCGCTAGGAACCGAAGCTGGTACCTCTTGATTACTAGTCTTACGCTCTACCGAATAAGCTTAAGAGAAATTCCCTCTAGCCGGGTCGGTATGAAACAGCTTGTATTTTATCGGTGTGTCATACTCCCCGTTCAGGAAAGAACTCGTCCCAATTTCTCAGGGGTTATTGTGATTCTTGTGAAAGTATCGCAGAACATATTTGTCAATATTACCCGGGTCCTTACGTGGAAACCAATGTAACAGAGGTCATTATTTTGTCAATGCCTCCGCCAGGAGTCGAACCCGGTACCTCTGGTTTACTAGTCTCACGCTCTACAGAAGAATTCTCCCTAGCTGAATCGGTAGGAACAGTTAGTATTTTACTAGGGTAACATTTCAGTGTAAGTACATATATTCTGTTCCCCGTTACAGGGCCAGTACCAGTTCCTCCACGTGGTGTTGGAGGCGGCGCTAAAAAACAGAGATACGACGGTGTCGGTGGAGGAGTTCTCACAGTACTATAACGTCCTCAGACGGGACAGCGACTCGCACTCTCATCTTCACCGCCAGTTCGAGGTAATACACACACCCAGCAACGTAAATGTCCATTTCATGAAATGTATATCCGAATGATGTAGATTTCGTAAGAGAAACGTCAGTTAATAATGTAGATTACCCAAGGGCATTTCAGTGGCAAAGGTGTTGCCAGGTGTGTTTCACTGCACAATAGTATAATAACATTGTAGCGACTAGTGTTGAGACACTTACATCGTACATTAGTTGTAATAGTTATTTCTTTGTTTCTGTCCTCTGCGCATGCTCGGACATTGGAGAGATCATAATTTGTCTGTTACATCTTCAACAATGGTTAAGGACCCTTGTCCCACTGCTAGGGTAAAACACTAGATACGTTCATTGTAGTATGTCACACACATTAACGACCCCTTTAATTTTCGTTTTGGTTCTATTTAAGTACAATGTACATTTTAGCTCGTTTTCTTAAAGTACCTTATTGTGATCAGAGGTGGCATTGTTTCATTTTTACTCTCAGAACACTGTTGTTGATAAATTGATGATTTACTCATTTATCTTTTTAATTACTCATCTGTTTATTTATTTATCTATTTATTTTTCATTTTATTGTAAATTCTTCATAACAGCTCCATTAGACATCTCTTCAGAAGCTATTTATGAAATCTCGGTTGGCTCCCTTTATGCTTGCCATTTTCCGGTGTTCTACGGTTTAATCCGGGCCAAGTCTAAGACTTAAGTTTCTGCTTAACCAATCACGTATGACGTCGATTTTCATGACTTTATCTGTGATTGGAAAAGTCAAAACTTAACACAATTTTAGAATTCAGATCATTTCATGATCTCGGGGTCTGTTTTTCCTCATTAAGTTGATAAACAGTTGTTTTAACTCTACTTGTTGACGCCATGACAGTTTCGGTTGTAAGACTATAATACACAACACTCCAGTTCTACTCTGCATCAGTGCCGAGCTCGTGTAAGACAAACATTTGTTTATATAAGTTATATTTTCACAATTTCAGAATCTGACCTGTCCCACAGAAATGGAGTATGAAGCCGCACATATGCCAGAAAATCTACCTAAAAATAGGAACGCAAACATTTTGCCACGTATGTATTAAAGTGAATGTATTACTAACAAACTGTTACTTAACGTCACCGGTTACGTCATTATGGTAAATACTGTAAATATCCCCTTCCAGGGAGTTATACATTCTATATACAATGTAAAACTCAGTATATGTCTATTTTAAGAGCTTATAACTATGGTATTAACGTTTATTTGAACTAGATGTTCTGATTGGTCAAACTGTTAAAGAGTTTGTTATGACGTCAGTGCAAAAACAAAAGCGTAACGTCATTATTTGAAAACAAATTTCGATAAGAAAACGATGTTTTTTCTCAGAATTATAAACACTTTTCTTATAAGCATGTCCTATATCCATGTCCAGGCAAGTCTTGGTCTTGTGGTTGGCTTATAAACATGAACAGTTCTTTATAAAATCACTTCATGCTATCAAACAGGTTTTATTAACATTGTACGTATGATTTCTATCATACGAGCTTCAACGAGTTTGAGATTCTTTTCATGATAAGCCGACCGACAAAAAAAACGAAAAAGAAAGCTGTCAGTTTTGCAATTAATATCAACTTGTGAAGTCATCGTAACTGTTCTTGCAATATCAAAGTATATCAATTTATCAAGTTTATTTATGTGAATATGTGGTTTTATTGACATTAAAAGATATACTGACCTCGCCTTTTTCTCGGTTAATATCGCTTTCCTAGGTTAATGTAACCACATATTCACTACGACAAAAGTCAACAATTGTATCATGTTATACATGACGAGAAAAATAACAATGTAACATTGTGTGACGTTATGAGTCACGCGATCGCAGTTACGTTATGATATCGAAGGTGTGTTTTGTTTCCTCAGCTGATGACTGTCGGGTTTATCTGTGGTCCAGGATGAAAGGCTGTAACGATTACATCAACGCTGTCTACCTACCGGTTAGTACGATTACGTAATAGTTCATGACGTCATACAGGACAAAGTGACGTCATAACAGTTAAAGTAATGCCTAAGAGGGTTGCTCGTGATGCTGATCTATGCGAGTCTATTGTGTATTCTTAACAAATTGGATAGTGACTCGTTAAAAGTTCAATGTCTTTTCGTGTGTTATTGTAAGTCTGTGCGAACAATTATTTTCCCATATGTATTTAAGTTTTGAAAGTCCTGAAATTAGTGTTGAAATTTCTAAATTTGAGCTAAGTGCCGCCTTCTTGGATTGATAAGCTAGGCTTAAATGTAAGGGTTAGGGTTAGGCCTAACCCCTACATTTCAAATATCGAAGGAGACGTTCAATGTAGATTATCGTTAATGTGCAAAAAATACGTAGATATAATTATACAAAGACTCTACGGATCTGTTCAACGCAGCCAGTGTCCAATGTAAAATCAAATTAGACACAGTGACGTCACACCGGTCATGCTATACAGATACTCTTTTGGCGTCCGTCAGGTACATTTGTACATCGAAGTCTTTAGTCTCGTTCAACAAAACTCTTGTTGTCTGCGCAAGCTACATGTGATCAAACGTCTGGTTGAACGAAACTACGGCGTCTTTTGTTAACGTGCATTTGAATAAAACGAGGAAATCGAGACGAACTGCTTTTGAAACTGTTCAATACTCAGTCGTTTAAGTACTGAAGGTATCTTTTTCACATTTATGCGGTTGCGCATCTTGGAGAACATCTTTGAACGGAACTGTGTTGCTTACCATCATAAATGTTAAGAAGATGCAATTCAACCCATCTGTTAACGTTTAAAACGTCGGGCGATTTCAGTTCGTCATTCTGTTTGGTTTAATTTGTTCATGATTAATTTTATACAAACAGTTTTACCAAATGGTGGAAGAGCCATATTGGCGGAAACAATGCATGTCGTTTTTCCGATAGTTAGCGTTTCCGTTAGACGACAAACGGTAATCGGAAGCTATCATTAGTCCCCAATTAATTTGATCATTTGACGGAAAGACCCGAACAATTTCCGATTATTAAACATTACATGTACTAGCGCATTTCATTGAATTTTACTTTTTTTGGAATTCATATTGCCTATGATGCAAACTGAAAGCAGTGCAATGACCAAATACCATCTCTGTTGGGTTGTCTTAAGACTGTCAAAAAGAAATGTTAATATTGAAAAATGCGTTTCGGGGTTTTGCCGGGAACATAAAAATATAAGTTCAGAAAATGTGAGACGATGTTTTTTTCCCCCAGACATTCAAAGAGAAATACGCATTCATAGCGACAGAGTTTCCCCAGAACCGGACCGTGGTTGACTTCTGTCGCCTAGTATACCAGGAGGAGTGTCGCACTATAGTCATGATGAACAACACCTTCAGCGGAGACAAGGTAAGGACAGACAACTCTCGTTCGTGGCGAGTGAGTAATGATATGTTTTAACTGTTATCTTTGATATTTTCGCCATTCTGTCTTTAAAAATATGTTTTCCCCCGTTTTAGAAAGTTTATTAGGTATATCAACTTTATGTATGCAATTGATGCAAGTCGAAACGGAACATTTTAAAGCTTCCATTTCTTCCTCAGCAGTCCTTAGCGGAACAGAACTGGGTCTGACACTGCTTACCAGGTAGCCTTGCTGGTTGCTCTAACCTTCTAGAGTTCGGAGGTCACAGGTTCGAAACTCTTAATGAATAAAAGAGAAAATTGGGTTCGAACCTTGGACCTCCGAGTTAGAACCAGCTAAGATGCATCTACCAATTAAGTCAGTGGCTATCGACCCGCCATACTCTTCACTCCCGTATTGACGTCCAGTCTAATTGATCCCGAAGACACCATATTTCACCTTTCTCGCGTATGTTTAGATATCCAGCGACCCGATCGAGTTTCGAACACAAGACTGAACTCTAGACTTGCGCTCGCACTAACTGCTCGACCTAGTCACCAGCGATCAACCTCCCAAAGTACAGCCAGAATTTTGAACTATTTTATTTATGACTTGCCAAATTATGCTGTAATATCTATAAATGCTTGCTGTTTCAGAAACATGAAAACTATTGGGGCGGTTTGAATCAACAGATGGGATGTGGCCCGTTCCAGATAAAGGTCACACGCGAGGAGGTCAAGGACGGATACAAAGTTCTCACCATGGAATTTAGGTTTGACGTTGAGGTAAGTTATAGGAATCTACATACGTCACTTCCGGCAGCTACTAACGCGCATGGTAGTTATTTACAAATCAGAATGGTTTTAATTTCTCCTCAACCAAATACAGGATGCAGACAGGCTGACTTCATAAAATCTTACTGCGAGATTAATCTAAAATAATACTCTTCTTCTGCATTTGTTCTGTAGAATATCGCGCATAACATTTACATCTCCAAAAGCCTGTATGTTGGGCTAATTGGGTTCAGCAATATATATACTGTAAAGTTGAATGAAAAGTCAAGGTCGACGCAGATTTCTTGTTTACCGGTTTATTCTCACAATATGTGGAACATAATAAAAAAAAACCTACAAAGACACAATTCAATTGATTACATAATGAAACACCCCCCTCCCATATATAATTCCTAACATGTACATTCGGTGCATACATATTTGATCCGTTCACACACAATAGGTTATTCAAAAATGGGAATAACTTTACAGTGACTGACTTCATCATAATCAATAGTTGAAATTACTTACACAAATTACTTATACATAATTATATTGAATACAATTATCCTTATCAATAATCGCTTGCTTACATTATCACATACAATATTCAAATACCTACCCCAACTATGGGTCGGGGGTTTACACGAATGAAGATCTGTATCCGTTCTCAATCGAAAACTATCATCTCTGTAAAAGAGACATGTAAATCACAATTTACATCATGTTGATAAAAACATAAATACATTACTTTAAAAAGAGCTATCTATGTATCGATTGAATATACATGTACGTAAGATTTGAGTGAATGAAACAAACACGTATCCTTCGTTTAATACAACTTACAGAAATCAACGTTTTCATGAGGTTGATAAATCTCGAAAAAAATATATATAGGCCTACGTTATCCCTATTTGACAACAAGCTAAAAACAATGTGGTAATTAGTGTGTGTTGTTTGGGGAGATAACTCTAGTTATGGTATCTACAGGCACTGGCTGGGGACCTGGGAGCGGTAAGTACGCCACCTGGTGTGAGTTGGTTGTCGTGGTGATGGTATATTGATTGTACACACAATTCTTTACACCTGTACAAGTTTATTTTGTTATATTTAAAACGGGGGCAAAGCGATACGATGCAGAGCAAATCCAGAACGACAAGGAGATAGTGTAATACAGTAGAAGACACGGCGGGGATTGAAAAAAAAAGGAAAAAATGGGTCGAAACCGCTCTCATGCTCAAGCGGGGATTTTGTGCTCAAACCATCTTTTTGTAACTTTATTTATAAACACTTAAAACGATATTTGACATGAAGGCTCTCCAAAGTTCTTCCAAATTCCCGACAAAATGTGTATATATATATGAAGTTATGTATTACTGGAACAAGAAATAAGGCTTGAGCACAGATTCTGAGTTGAGCATGAGAACGGTTTCATGAATATGGAGCCAGGCATCCCGCTGCGCATGTCTGTGTTGGTGTATTACTCACTTTAACATTCAAGTTGTATACTATGTACATGCATCATTATGAGACCTTTTGGGTGGAAATCATCAAAAACGAAATCATACTTACATACTAACCTGTGTGGGTGCCCTAAGGTTATGCCAATGAACAGCGTCCTGGATTCTCACGATAGCGTTCAGATAGTGAATAGACCTTTTTATAGCACACTAGCACGCACGTTTTTTTCGTTCATGTTTTATAGCGCACTTAACACATAATAAAAGTACACTTTTTTGAGTGCACTATTTTTAGATTTACTTCATTCACTTTAAAAAGAATTGACTTCTTTTTTGCATTTGAATATTGTTTACCATTAAGTCGATGTGAAGAAAACTTCTTATTTTTTGAGATATAACTGGCTTGAACTCTTTATAATTAATCTCAGCTGCCAATTGCGAAAAGGAAGAGATATGATGATGATCGATCGCTATCATCGTTTTCTGCTTTCTATTGAATTATGCTGCATTGTGGCCGGACTTCCATTCTTAATATTGAATTGACTACCACTTCATGATCGTATGAGGCGACTAATGTGTGCTCGTCAACGTAATTCATGTTGTTTACTGTGTCGTCAGCTTAGTAAACACTGAAGAAAGTTAACAACTTACTGCTATATTCGGGTATTTTATCTTGTCCTTTTCTACACTACATACTACAACATTGTACCTACGAATTTACTATGAAAGGAAGCGACACGATACATACAAGAAAGCACTTGTCAAACCAGAAGAACATGTATGGTTCGAACGAAAAAAGATCTAACAACAAGTCTAAAAAGGTGTCGTGGATAGAGAGAGAAGGTTCAAGATAATCCGCCGAGAAGAAGACAGGAAAAATGAAGAAGCGCCCCAATATAAAAAAAGAATAGTTGCGGCAGAAAGGACAAGACCTAATTAAAGAAATGTCGATGATACACTAACAAGCCCGATGGCTGGAGAAAGATGATGTAGACGGAAATCTCCATCTCTTAGTAATGTCTAAGGATAATTTGCCACATTTTGCCGTGGAACGATGGGAATAAGGACCGAAGTATTTTATGTTATCTCAACGTTATATTTGCTTTTCAAACGCTTCCATTCTTTTTCACACCACAAGCTTTTTAATTTAAACCAAACCACTTAACAAATTAATTATTGTTTTTACGGTTTTATGAGCATGCACTTATACTACGTTATCGATACAGATATCTGGGATAAGTGTGTGGTTACTGCACATGCTTCTTATACTGCCAGTAACATCAATAAGTGTTTAGTTATATATTATGTATGGGCTGGAGGGATAAAGCAAATTTCTAGCTCCCCATGACCGGGTATATATCCCGAGGCGAATAAAGCTGGTCTAGGGAAACCAGATACTTGGCATATCTAGAGAGGACCGGTGCTTTCAGTGTTTTATAAAGCATAATTTTAAAACATAATATTTCAAACCACGAAACATTTCCCCCCTGTTACAATAGTAATATAACACTATACCCCGGTCCCTGTGTATTGATATAAGATTATACCCCGGTCCCTGTGTATTGATATTAGACTATACCCCGGTCCCTGTGTATTGATATTAGACTATACTCCGGTCCCTTTGTATTGATATTAGACTGTACCCGGTCCCTGTGTTACAGGAGGATAAGGGCAGTGTACAGTTACGACAGTACCAATACAGTGGCTGGGAGGAAGGCCGACTTCTTCCTTCGAATCTCGACGCCCTCCTTAACATGATTGATGACATCAGAGATTGGAACGCCAGCTCGAGCGCCAAGGGGAAGCCACTCATCGTTCACTGCATGTAAGTCAACTAGACCTGATATCTGTAAGCTTCTCCTTTCATATTCTGTCAAATCTCGTTATGACAAAGGCTAACAAAACTTTGACATAAATAAAAGGATATTCGTTGTATCCATGGTTCAAATAGAGTAAGTTATAAGTCAAAATTAATTTCCAGATACAAGTGTATTCGTATTAACAAGCTGTTTCGAAATAAACAATATATACTCTGGATGTATTCGACATAGCCTGGGTCTATCAAGGAACCAATGTATTCGCCAAAAACTCTTGTATATTATATTCGATATCGATATATCCAGAGTTTTCGACATCATCGATGTATTCGACTTAACTGATGTATACGATCGCGACATTATCAGTTTATTCGAGTCAATCCGTGTATTCAGTAAAAACTATGTATTTGAGATTTATTCAACGTAACACATATACACTAATTTAACGATGACATATGTATTTGACATAAACCAAGCTTCCATATATAAACGGTTTATTCGACACATGATTCCTGTATGGGAACTTTTTGCGTCAAGGCCTATTTATAAGTCTTCAATAGAAATCGTGTATTCGAGATTTGTTCGACATATTTTCCGTATTCGACATGACCTGTGTATTCGACTTAACCATAGATGTATCTTGTTTGTGTTTTTATTTCGATATAATTCATTTAACTTTTACAATATAAGTCGGCATATTGGTGTATCTGTTTAGGGACGGGGCGGAGAGGAGCGGTCTTTTCTGTGTGATGGCGGCCGCGGTAGAGCGACTGAGGGCCGAGGAAAACGTCAGTATGGTTCACACCATCAACCAAATGAGGGTCCGACGTCCTCAGGTTATACCGAATATAGTGAGTATCGAACTATGTTGTGAGTATTTGGGTCTATAGTGAGTATCGAACTATGTTGTGAGTATCTGGGTATATAGTGAGTGTCTGGGTATATAGTGCGTGTCTGAGTTTGTAGTGAGTATCGAACTCTGTTGTGAGTATCTGGGTATATAGTGAGTAAATGGGTTTTTAGGAGTATCTGGGTCAGTAGTGGGTATCTGGGTCCGTAGTGAGTATCTGGGTCTAAAGTGAGTATCTGGATATATAGTGAGTATCTTGGTCTGTAGGGAGTATTTCGGTATATAGTGAGTATCTTGATATATAGTGCGTATCCGGGTCTGTAGTGAGTAGCAGGGCCTCTAGTGAGTAGCTTGGTCTATAGTGAGTATCTTGGTCTGTAGGGCATATCTCGGTATATAGTGAGTAGCTTGGTCTATAGTGAGTATCTTGGGCTATAGTGAGTATCTGGGCATGTATGGAGTATCTGGGTCTATAGAGAGTATCTGGATATATAGTGAGTATCTTGATCTATAGTGAGTATCTTGATATATAGTGCGTATCTGGGTCTGTAGTGAGTAGCTGGGTCTGTAGTGAGTATCTGGGTCTATAGTGAGTATCTGGATATATAGTGCGTATCTGGGTTTATAATGAGTATCTGGGTCTGTAGTGAGTAGCTGGGTCTCTAGTGAGTAGCTTGGTCTGTAGTGAGTATCTGGGTCTGTAGTGAGTGTCTGGGGCTGTAGGGAGTATCTAGGGATGTCGTGAGTATATGGGGCTATAGTGAGTATTTGGGGCTATATTGAGAATCTTGGTCTGTAGGGAGTATCTTGGGATGTAGGGAGTATCTTGGGCTATAGTGAGTATATGGGCATGTATGGAGTATATGGGTCTATAGTGAGTGCATGGGTCTGTAGGAGTATCTGGGTCTGTAGGGAGCACTGGATATATAGTGAGTAGCTTGGTCTATAGTGAATATTGAACTTTGTAGTGAGTACCTTGGTCTGTAGGGAGTATCTGGGGATGTAGGGAGTATATTGGGCTATGGTGAGTATCTGGGCATGTAGGGAGTATATTGGGCTATGGTGAGTATCTGGGCATGTAGGGAGTATCTTGGGCTATAGTGAGTATCTGGATATATAGTGAGTATCTTGGTCTGTAGGGAGTATCTTGGGATGTAGGGAGTATCTTGGGCTATAGTGAGTATCTGGGCATGTATGGAGTATCTGGGTCTATAGTGAGTATCTGGATATATAGTGCGTATCTGGGTCTGTAGTGAGTATATTGGTCAATAGTGAGTATCTGGGTCTGTAGTGAGTGTCTGGGTCTGTAGGGAGTATCTAGGGATGTAGTTAGTATATGGGGCTATAGTGAGTATATGGGGCTATAGTGAGTATTTGGGGCTATATTGAGTATCTTGGTCTGTAGGGAGTATCTGGGGATGTAGGGAGTATATTGGGCTATGGTGAGTATCTGGGCATGTAGGGAGTATATTGGGCTATAGTGAGTATCTGGGCATGTAGGGAGTATCTTGGGCTATAGTGAGTATATGGGCATGTATGGAGTATATGGGTCTATAGTGAGTGCATGGGTCTGTAGGAGTATCTGGGTCTGTAGGGAGCACTGGATATATAGTGAGTAGCTTGGTCTATAGTGAATATTGAACTTTGTAGTGAGTACCTTGGTCTATAGTGTAGTGAGTAAATTGCTCCATAATACATTCGTACTCAAGTTTCCATACCACTGCCAAACTGAAAATATGAATAGAGTTTTTCTGTGATGACTATAGCTTTAATGACTCATTTTGGCAGACCTTTTTTATCTTAAATGTTATAAAAGAAACAACAAGAACGGTGTTTTGAGAGTAAAAGTGCATGGTTCCGACCCTGAACATCCGGGCTTCCTGACTAGCGGTTATTTACTGGATCAGTACTACGGTGTACTGCAGTTATATCCAGGAAGACATTTTGTCTATCATCTTTCTTAGGATTTTAAGTTTTTCTTTCTTTCTTCCTTCCCTTCCTGTCCTCTTTGTCATATTTGTATGTTTTTTAAAAACGTATTTGTTGTTGTTGTCATGTAATATATATAATGAAATGTATTGGAGAAGGCGTTTCTAAGTTGAGGTAACGTGTGCCTAGTCCTTTTTGAGGAATGACAAATAAAACATGTTTTAGAAAAGACATTTACATTTAGAGGCGAATACTGTATGTATGAAAAACTGAAATGGAATTCTTCGTGTTTTACTTACAGTGACATATCGATCCCTAAACGATATGTTGATTTTTCGCATGCGTTATTTTGTATAATTTGGTAACATGTACAAAGTGACAAATGAAGAAACAGTAAACCAGGTTTTGTCTGGGCATGATTTATCGACTTCATCAGTTGTTCCCAAAATGTTATTAATTTTTGTCAACAAAATGTATGAGGGAGATACGGTAATAATGTTGTTGTTGTTTTCTCCAACAGGAGCAGTTCCGGTATTGCCATGAAGCCATTCTCCAGTACATTGAGCATCACTACAACAACGGTGACATCATATTGTAGAGTTACCATAGTAACAGTTTCGTCAGTATAACAAAATGAGATATTGTCATATATCAACAAACTTGGTCTTCATAGCAACGGTGACATCGGAACAAAATATTTATCGATAGAACAACAGTGACGTCATATTGTTAAGTCATGGTACCAAAGACGCTTTACTTCAGCAAAGGTGACGTCATTATATGAAGAATAAACAACGGTGATATCGAAAGATAACGAACAAACGTTTGGCAATGCGAAAGCATTGGCAAGCCCACTAGTAAAATACTATGTAATATAGCAACGTTGACGCTAGATTCACAAAAGTGACGTCATATGTTACAGTAACTGTGATAATATCGCCCCCTAGCAACATAATTGTATCTATGACAACGCTGAATTTATAATGATAGGTCACCATAGCAACAGACTTGTCACTAATTATTTCAGAGACACGGTGCATGAGTTCAAATAAATCATAACAACAGCAACGATGACGTCATTTGAAAAGAATCCATAACAACACCATCGTAAATATGGTGATATATTAAACATTTATAATTAGCACCACCTAAAGAACATCAACACCATATCCTGGTCTATCATAATTGATGACCACGGACATGACTGCTTCCTGTAGGTATGGAGACCACCGATTAAGCTGTCTGTGATTAAGATACAGTTTATCTGTGTCGAGAAGTCTTAGCTGAAAACTAATTAATCAGCTAAAAGTCTGACACCGTGATATTTCTTCGCTACGCAATGGTTGAATGTAATAGAACAAGGGGAAGCAACTCGTCCTTGCCTGTGAACCAGTTTGCATGGGCGTCATTTTCTAAGGGGAAAAAACTCATCCTTGCCTCAAATTGTTTGGTTTGTATGACATGTGATATTACTATTATCTATTTAATATATATATAGTACATACATTTCTCATCCAACTTTCTTTTTGTGCCATATTTATGTTTTTAATCATTATTATGATACTCTGTACGGTTTGTGGTATATATACAGGTCATTCGACAGACGATTTTTTTTATCGTTTTATAAATACTATTTCTTCTTTAAAAGTGATCTATGATATTGAAAAAAATACCTTGACAGTATTCATACAAACGATGGATGTTTTTTGTCCTATTTTTAGAAAGCAAACCTTCTTAATTTGAAAGGTATCTTGACTTTTATTTGAGTGGTTTTTTTCAGAGCATGGAGTTTTGTGAAGGAACAGGACAAATGATGTTAGCGTTATCATGGAACTTTTAAGAAGGGAAATGATTGTAGATGGGTTTTTTTCTGACGAGGTAGATAAATCTATGTGAACTGTCATCCGTCTTGTTTATATCCATAATGACATAAATATGTATCAATATGGTAGAGTATTCTACGTTTATCGTGTGTGGAAGAGAGTTTTTACGATTACTAGGCGATCACCAGAAATCATAAATCATGTTTTACTATATGGTCAGATTTTTTATCTTTTATTTCAAGAAAGTTTCATATCCCCTCTCCGGTTAAAAATATAATCTTTATTTCTTTTACAAAAATTATGAAACAATTATCGATATTTTTAAGTGTATATATTACTGTGGTATTCATCATAATTTTACAAGACATATCCTATCTTTAATCAAAACAGGGAAGATTGAAACTGATCACTGGCGTCATAAACCTCATACAATGCTCGCTGTAATTGCTGACGTCATTGACCTCGTACGCTGTAATTGCCGACGTTGTCCTCAAAACTCTAATTTTCATAGAGGATTTCTTTTACATGAGAATTTTCAGCAGAACTATTTGGTTTCCGTCCAACGACTACGAAAGTGTAGTGAAATAGTGTATTACTGAAATTATGAGGAATCGTAATCGTAATCGTTAAACTACTGTTCCACGTGAAGGTGACCAGTCTTTAGAATGAATGCATTAATTCATTTTTTCAAAGCACAATATCAAAATTAAGTTATAGTCTTGCCTGGTTTGCCCCTGGTTGTTGTGATAAATGAAATCCCTATGTGTGTACGTTATTATCTTATTTACGTTGAAAATTCAATTATTCAGCTTTAAATGTCATGTATATAAGGAAACATCAGGAGTGATTAAATCCGGGTGTTTTTTGTACTTCATGAATATCAGTATCGACCCTGGTTGGTCAGAATCTGTTTAAATTAATTACTGATTTTGTACAAATTTTCGAGATAAAACGAAAGTTTCAGCATATGTGAAAATGTTTAAAATTATGTTCTGCTTCTTGTCTTCATATGAATAGTTTACATTCATATTCGTATGATTTTAAGGCATTTTCAATATGTTGCAAGCATGATTTATTTTTCTGTGTTAACTTTTCATCAAATTAATTGGAAGTAGATGTTGAATTTAGAGTTCGCAGGTCAATTTCCGGTAATCTATAGTCCGGAATATAGGATATTCGAGATCTAGGGTCCGAATTATAGAATATTCGAGATCCAGGGTCCGTATTATCTATAGGTCCTGGGATCAAGAGTTCCGGATTATTGAGTTTCTGGACTCAGGGTTCGGACTATCGAGTTTCCGGGATGTTAGAGTATGAATGATCCAATTCCTGAAGTAGAGTGTAACGCATGGGAAGTTAGTATACGTTTGATATCGTGATCCCTGTATACATGTACTTAGTCCGCCCAAACAGTTTTTTTTCAATTTATTGCAATTATTTTACAATTTTTAAAACATAATTAACCCCCCAAAAAACAGTTTAATAAAACATGTCAATCCGTCCAATGAATTAGGGGCCAACTGTTGTCTCGAAGGTACATATATGTAGTTTCCTACTAGTTTATGCAATAACAAACTCAAAGTTTGGTAGGTACGCTTGTTATAAAACACTTTTATGGAGTAGAGTGGGCGAGATATCTTAGTGTGGAAACACAAATTATTTCTGTGTGAAATTTTATTTTTTTTATTTTTTTCAGTCTTAACCTTGCCAATTTTTATTTAAATGTTTTCCTCTTAGAAGAGAATTCCTTTTGCTCGGCAGCCATTACGTCGACAGGTAGTATTTTATATATACAATGTATCTAATCACCTTGCTGTACAAAGTGAATTTTGACTTTTGACTTTTACATTATTGAGCTGTATATTATCATCATCATTTTGCAATTAAACTTCGTACTTTCATTATATTTATGTATAAAATATTTCCATCGCAGGGTCCAGACATAATGATAGGTAGCAGTAGTAAACCAGCTGTATAAGGAATATCATACTAAAAAAAAGTGTTAAAAAAAAGTTTTATGGTTCTGAGGGGTATTTTTTAAAGCTTTTTCGCGGTAAAGGCATTTTCGAGTTGGTGCTGTGTTATTATGTCGCTGCGTGCTTATATTTTCGGGTTTTCATATAAACGAAAATATTGAAAACGTCCTCATCGCGAAATAACTTTAAATGTACAGTATAATATATATCTATATGCATGAATATACCAAGTACTACTGTTACATCACCATGTGTCCGGTCCCTGATGAGACTCGTACCATCATGCATATATAATCAGTTTATTTATTCTGTAATATTTTTATCCTATGCATATGTATATCTGTTTACGTGGGTGGTAATTTTCAGGTTTTACAATATGAGTTTAATATACTGAGATGAAAGTAAACTTACTGTGAATCTTCTAGTAAATTTGTGTGGTGTCGCGAATTAAAATACCGTAAATCTATTTATTTCTCATAGGTATAAAATAATAGCTTTTATCATTTTTTTCAGTAATAAATGTTATACCTTTAATTGTTTTTCAAGTAATAATAAAAAAAAAATATATATTTATTCTGAAATGAAATTTTCGCATTTAGATCGTTTGCAGACATGTCTTGAAAACAAGTACATGTATTCGCGAAAATAAAGTGATTTACATAATTTCATTTTTATATTCAGGATATTTTGAAGGCACATTGTGACAAGTGTGATACAGTTTTATACTGTCACAGCTCCTTGTACAATGTCTGAAACAAGTTTGGTTTAAATAGCTTGGAGTGTTTTTCAACGTGTTAATTTGTTTATGAACAGAGGGAGCCAGCATTTGAGACTTGTAAATTTTCTGTTTCTCTCTCTGTCTGATGTATTTTCTTTGTGTCTTATGCAATATGTAGGAATATTTTAATTATTTAAGTTCGTCTGTCTTCGCATCTTGAAAGGAGATTTTGTAACAACATTTGTGATACCGTTCCGTCCAAGAGGGCCAAGTAATAAAACCGTTTTTTTACAAAAATATATGTGTTTATCTTTTATTTGTAATATACCAACTGACTCGGCTTTTGGTCAATGCGCTGTCAACTTCTTTGTTTTTAAGAAATTATATAAGTATACCAACATCGTATCTTTTTTAAAGGGTTGGTCGTTTTGATGTTGAAGACATACTTCATTATTTAGAGAGAGAAACAGTCCACTGCATGCTTGTACGTGGCGACTAATGTAGGAGCCTCTTCAGAATAAATTCCGTCTTTGCGTATTGCGGAGTTGTCTTCTCTTGTGAGCAGGTATTGATTGTTACGTCATTGGTTTGTGTGAGAAAATAACGTCGTTTTCTCAAAAATTGATGACGTTAATCTCACAAACAAATGACAAATATAGATATAATTGGTTCGGATCATCGGCTCTTATGCAGGTTCTATCCCACATTGCCCCCCCAGCAGAATCTTCGGGTTTTCTTCTTTCTCTCCTGCTGATGGGACTTTGAAGAAACAGAAATTATGTACTGCCCCCATCGCAACCGTTTTTATCTGCATTGTATATCTTTACCTTTCTAACCTACCTACTGTTTGTTTTTCGGCGGTGTTTACCATGAAACCCGTCATTATATCACCCAGGATGTTGCGAGGATGTTAAACCCCAAACAAACAAATATCTGGTACACCTGCCGTTTACACCTACCGTTTACACCTACCGTCTACACCTACCGTTTACACCTGCCGTTTACACCTGCCGTCTACACCTACCGTTTACACCTACCGTTTACACCTGCCGTTTACACCTGCCGTCTACACCTGCCGTTTACACCTACCGATTACACCTGTTTTCACGCTTGGTTGTCCGTTCAGTATGAACAATGTCGAAAGACGCTCACATGTCTTTACAAGATGGCGCCATTTCCTGTTACCTCATTTTGATGTAATCATGTGACGTTGGTTTCTACATATGCACGTGGCCTTCTACAACACCTTAACTGTCCACGGATTTGCGTTTCACTCAAAACGCGCCGGTTCTCCTGCACAAATCAAATATACAAGATCTGGGTCTAATCTTCCCCAATCCTTGACTGTCCGCGGATAAAAAAAGTGTTCTTAAACATTTCCGATTTTGATGTTATACTGTTCTATTGTTAGTGTTTGTATTCTTTTCGTTTGTCGTTTGTTAATCAGGAGAAATTAAAATGTCCGGAGAGATTGCGACCAATCCTAAATCTTGTATGACAACATTAGCCAATTTTCTCTGTATCTTCCTTTTGCAACTTTTGCCCTAATATGTAAATTAGCCTCGTCACACTTGATTTCTGTCCATAGTCTTTATATATGAATCGCGCTACACGTCGTTGAACTGAGTCCAGGGTGTCTGTCCTTCTTGTTACCAGGGTACCTAGCAAACCCATGCCGTATTTTGGTACTTTGGGCTGTGTTTTGGTTTTCAGCGAAGAAACCCGAGGGTAGAACTTGCTCTGTCTGTAATTTTGCTGATTTGAGTGGCGAATTTTGAGAACTTTCACTGATGGTTAGGCCTAATGACAACTGTTCGCTGTTATGTTTTAATAATCATGATTCGGTTCAAAGCGGTACTTGTTTCTATATTAATAATAATAATATACAACATTTGATCATATAGCGCCCTATCTAGCTAACATAAGCCACTCTAAAGCTCTTTACAGTACAACGATATACAATTAATACAATTAGTATATCCTTTAATCAATAAAAAAAAATGAGGAATTTGCAGTAGCTGCCTGATCAGGGGCTAACTACTAGTTCTTTTACCACCTGGCTAATATCTCCCTATGTTTGTGTATGCTGGAGATATAATGTGTTCTGTTTGTAGTGGCACCGTGCTTCTAACGGTATCATTTATAGTGCCACCTCACTTGAACGCTACAACATAGATACCGCTACATCAACACCAGACAATTAATTATCCACCTGGGTTGTTGGAGTTATTACGTATCACAGAGGTACTAACAGAGAGGGAAACCGGTCTATGTTTTGTCCATGCCCGCCATATTAATATAAAAATTGAAACAAACGTGTTTGTTCCCGAATATCAGCCATAGACGTTTCATTTGCCACTCACCTTTGGATTTTATTTTTTAATAAAATAAAATGGCGATACTCTGATTAAGATCAGCTTAATATCACCACAGGATATGTATTAAAGCGTATATTTACCGTTAAGTCAATACTATGGTGATGTTGTCTGGTGCTTACCTAGAAGTTTATCTACAACCAATACAGCTGGGAGAGAGTGACTTTGTGAAACGTGTTTTATATCTTCAACAAATTGTATCACGATGCCAATTTTATTTCATCGCTTCGAAGCTAAACCAACATGATCACCCTTCTCTTTATTCCAGGAGTTCACTTAATGTGAAACAAATTGCAGTGTTAAAGAGTTGGGTTTTTTTTCGCTCTGATTAAATAAATAAGCGCGAAAATACAACCCGCGTTTAACAGCAAAGCTTTTATTGAATATATACAGAGAGGGATTTCAGATCCATTTCAAACGATAGGATTTCCGAACTGCGATCAATTTGAAGAGTCAAGTGCGATTATTTCCCTACGAGAAAATTTCTTCTTTTACAGTATCACACAAACTGTTAAAACCACATTTGTACAAAACAATTTAAGATTTGTTTATATTTTCAAATATTTTGAGAATCTATTCTGATCAAATGTCAATAATGGCCTCTCTAAAAAACAAAAAGAAGCGCTCAAGTGTGGTCAGAAAATCTTACAAGGCAGTAAACCAAATTTAAGTCCAATACGTATTTTGGAAAGACTTTCACCTCATAAAATATATCTGATTTATTGGAGTCATCGCCAAGTAATTCAAAATAGATGTGTATATCACGTACAATGTATACCTATATGTTATAGTGTTTGCCAGTTAGGGTCTGTTGTAACCTAGCTTACGGATGACTGAATTTGGCATTGTTATATAATATCTATCATGGCATCGCCATAATATTGTAAATATTTTAACATTTAAATGCTTTCAGTTGGCATTCATAGGAAATATGAGTGCCAACTGGACGAAGGCAAAATCAAAACTTTGAGGGTTTTTTGTCCAGTTGGCACTCATATTTCGTATGAATGCCAACTGCTTTGCTTATATTTACCGTTTATGGAATCTGTTGATATCATAGATACTCCTAGTACATTTAATATTATTCAGCATAAAGTCAAATAAGGTATTAATCGTATATGTTTAATTTGTTCAATGAATAGAACAGCTTATCTGTCTAGGAGGGACAGTGGTATCCAACGTAACATTTATGTCTTTATAAGAATGACGTCAACAATAGGCTCATGGCATTCATAGCCTATATGAATGTCATCTACATGCGGTAAGGTTACATAGTGGAATCGCAATACGATGGTAAATATTTACAGGTAAGTGTTGGATTTAAGGGCGGCTATTTCAGCTGAACGTACTGTGAAATTGTTGGATTATTGGGACAATTTTAAATAGAGTACGAAATACCGATTCCAAAAACTTCATCCAGATAACTATTTATCACATGACTACTGTTACACCAATGACATGTTTGGTTGTGTGACGGTGACGTCAGATTTAAGATAACAGATATGACGTCACATTGAAGACAATATACATGAGGTAAAAATTACGATGTTGTGAAAGTTTTCCTTAGTTAGAAAAAAACAGCAGTATATTTTGCAAGTATCCTCATAAATTATTGATATTGAATTCGTTTTCAATTCAGATAGGAAATTTATAAGATTTGTTCCAATTTGTCTATTTTAACATACTCCATTGTCGTAAGTATTCGAAAAGGGGATGAGTACAGAACATAACTTTTGAACGGAGCGGAGCATCGGGAAAAATAAAACTTCTGGACCGTTTTGTAAATCTAACACATGAAATGCTAACTCATTTAAAATTGTGTGTATGTTGTTTTGAACTACCAGGCCAGTTGAAAGCCAGACTTAAGAGACTCAGGTGTATATTGAATGGACGATTTCGTAAGTGTCTTAAATATACTTGATCCCAATCCATGGTGATGTTATATCGTGGCGTTTGATGCGGGTTCAGGTCAAAATTTTGTCTTACTAACTACCAGTGCATCAAAAACTCCCTATAGTGAAGCTTATACAACAAATGGCATGACGTTATTTTGTTATTGCTTGAATGCTAAAGGAATATTGGCGGCCATTAAGTTTCCTATTGCAGTGCAAATTCGCATAATACTTAGGAGATTCTGAAATCGTCCATGAAACATACGGGTATTTTAAAGTAACGGTCAAGATGTGAATATGGCTGTACTTTGTACAATCGATGTGTGAAAATCCTCAAATAACAACCAAGGATACTGAAATAGTGTTTTATCTAAAATTCTAGTGAAGAAACAGGATAGCACAAAATAACATTAAAAAAATACACAATTAGCTCTCTGCTTAACCGGTGGTAATGTTGGGTAGTTGCATCCTAAATAGACTAGTCAGCCATTGCTTTATACAAATCATGTTTATTGCATTCTCAAAAACATATTAATTTCCACATCACATTGTCAATGTCACATGATGACAAACAACCGGAAGTGTCACCAGTTGCTATAGAAACCCGATGTCCTTTCCCTTCCCCGCTTGACAGAGAGCGTTTCCGCCCGGCCAATATCCGCGTCCTGATGTCGTCCACCCTTGTTGTTTTTTCCGCCATATCTACAACAAAAATTAAAAAAAAACAGAATTATGAATATGATATTATATTCATTTATTTCTATTTCCTCATATTCATAAATAATAGTTGCATTAAATGTTAATTTTGACATGAATATGTGACATTCAGGTACGATCGCCATGGCACTACCGGTATTACCACAAATCGTGGTATTTACCATGAAATGCGCGAACACGCTTTCTTCATTGCTGTGTACCGCAAATATGTAGCACATCTTCTCCAGTTCGTAAATAACCTCCCGTATTGTGTGAACGCCATTCATAGGCTTTGTACAGCTTGAACAATAAAATATTCTGAATTATCGAAAATTCATGTAACAACATTATATTAAAATCTGTTCAGTCCGTATATTTACATTCTTAGAAGTTCATGGTCGAACGTGCCAGGGATTGTAGATATCTATTTCAACGAGTTTGGCAGAAATCTAGAGTCAATCTATATAGTTTCAACTCCTCTATTATACCAGTATATAACACAAACAATATTTCTATATTCAACGACAATCTATACAGGTGTAGTACAGTGATGCCCTCGAAATTAAAAAAGTGCGTTAGATTTTCTCTAAATTAGCAATCACCCTGAAATGTATGCGACACAAAGGCAAGCAAAACACTAACACATGTATAGATTAATGATTACTTCATTAAAATGGAATGGATAACGTTAATTAAAAAAACAATGGACGACTATTTTGTTCAGGCATTAACGCCTACTACTCGACTAGGTTGGTCCTAACATCAAAACCTTTGACGTCACCATTGAAAGGTCAAGTGAGGGGTCAAACATGACGTTTAATGATAGTCATGTATAAGGCCACTAGCTGTTAAAAATGAGAAGGATTTATGTAAATGTTATGTATCTTTTTCCTCATCATGTTTGCTTGAGTATATTTGTACAATTCATGTCAGGTATAAAAATAATAAATACAGTTTATACCAAGCTTTACGTTTGGATGAAAAGCAGCGCAGAAATATTTTTTTAACAATTCAATATCTATAACACTGACTTACTGACCAATATTTTGATTCTTATTCCCCACAATGATAATTATAGTTTAAGTATTAGTGTTGCACTATCACCACAGAAGAGGTCATTAGGACTATAAATAGACAATTATAACATGTTGAAGGAAATGACGTCATACAAATAATAGACATAGACCCCTACAAGTTTATAGTTTTAAGACAAGTGATGATCTTCAACCTATTTCAGCTTCTTCATTATATTTGATGTATCGCAGTTTTATCTATGTTTACCTATGTCTACCTTTGTTTACCTGTTTACCTTTGTTTACCTATGTTTACCTATGTTTACCTGTTTACCTATGTTTACCTATGTTTACCTATGTTTACCTTTGTTTACCTATGTTAACCTATGTTTACCTTTATTTACCTTTGTTTACCTATGTTTGCCTTTATTTACCTTTGTTTACCTGTTTGCCTTTGTTTACCTATGTTTACCTTTGTTTACCTATGTTTACCTATGTTTACCTTTTCAGTACATTGTGTCTCATAAGCCAAAGTGGCTGAATGTCAATACATTTTAATGCAATTGTAAAGTTTTGATGACGTTTAATGTATTATATATACCTGTAATATTGACATGTGACACGTTAATCAAATATATTGTATTGTACTATTTTATTGTAACATAAAAGTAAAGACAGACGCCAACCTGAATATTTAAGGTGTCTATGGTTCGTTACGGTATATCAGTTTTAAGGTAGTAAAAATATGAACTGTTTCGAGAAGAGATTTAAGATTTGCTATATTATCATAAAAACAAAAATCTAGTGTTGGCTGCAGATCAACACAGTCGAATAAGAAGTGTTTTACTGTAAACGGTTTGTGATATGCTATGTTTTGAGACTGGTTCTCGCGTTTCCATAAATAGGAACGGGTAATGTATGAATGACCCTTCCGGACTGATGATTCCGTATTTTCGTATAGCAGAGTTATCTGCTCTTGTGAGCAGGTATTGATTGTAACGTCATTAGCTTGTGTGAGAAAATTACGTCGCTTTTTCTCAAAAATGTATGTTGTTACTCTCACAAACAAATGACGTAACAATCAATACCTGCTCACAAGAGCAGATAACTCTGCAATACGAAAAGATGTAATAGTGGTATAAACTTTACTTTGATTTGGTGTGTAGTAAACACGTGACACAAATTATGTAATATCAAAGTTTTACTTTGTACACAAACAATGTCCGTATTAAACGTGTCACAACGTTTCAAGACCGACTGGTCCCTATGCCAAGCTACTGTATGACCGAGTGAGACATTTGTATTTTTTTCCTGTAAAACGATGTGACGAAATTGTATATTGTTATGTCACTCGACCCAGGACGTTTCGCCTAATGATAGAGAGCGTACACGCACTGCATCAGATAAGTCACAGGTAGGGTGTACATCTAGCCCCCATCCTCTGTTATGTCAGTATCGGTCATACAGATGACTCAGCTGGTGTCCCCCTTGTCTCTATTCATGTTTTGAGTGTTTGCTGATTTTCATTGCCTCTTTTGATTTGTCTCGTTTTTGTGTGTTGCTCCCTTTCAACTATCTTGGCATTGCCCTCCAATCGACGATGTGTTTGTGGGTGTTAGCGTGATTTGTTAATGGCGATTCATTGTACTTAGTGACGGATGGGTCGATTGCACTGTCTGACAAATTTTATAGACGAAAGAACTGTTACCAAAAATATACGTTACCTGTGGAAAATAATGACGACGTACGATAAAAAGAAAAACTGATTCAAACAATATAATACAATGCTATTTCTATACAATACGAAAAGTTTGAAACTGGGAGAAATACAATTGAAATGAATAAAACCTTACCCTTGATCGAATATTCTTGAAAAGATATCGTCTATAAAGGTTCCTTTTGAAACATCTGAAAATACAAAAAAAACAGCGTTTAGAATACGTGTTATCTCCGTAAGTGTTACCTTCTGTTTCTCACCGACCTGTCAATATTTACCTATCAGGTAAAAAAAACTTAATTCTAACTTGATAATTATACATCACGTGATATGACAATGTTAGGAATGTCTCCGGCAGAGAATATTTTGCATCTCGTGAAGATTCGTCATATTGCTCCGCTAAGAAAAAAATGATATTGCCCCACTAAAAATACTTATATGTTGCCCACTGATAACCGTCCGTGTCTGCTCAGGACGTCATCACATTGCTTGCTTCATTACAATGTATCATACATTTTATTATCTTTCGTTTGCAGTACCTTGCAACCCGAAATTAAGCTAGATGCAAAAGCAATGACCCTCGGAAAATAGACTCAAATGCATTTAAAATGAATGGCCTGTTTGCGTTTTATACAACTTAAACATGACCAAAGGCAGCTTTCTATGTTCATACTGTAATTAAATCCAACCGATTTATTCAAGAGGATTTGAACTGAAACAGACATACACTGTAAAAGTTTGTTCGCAACGCTCTTTTTGCAATTTGTCATGTTAACTGCGAAAAGTACAACTCGCGAAATTAATAGAAAAATCAATCAACCCTTACTGTAACACTTTGTGCCATGGACAATAGACCGTTAATTCGCGGAAAAAAAATACAGTGAAAATGACTATTTTGACAAACCGCGAAAATTAAACACTGCCGAAAAAAGATTTTTACAGTATACGAAAGTACCACTATAAAGTCGCGATATGTCAACGGATCATCTGTATCTTAGTACACATTTTTCGTTACATTTATCTACTGTGTAGAGATCGTTTATGTATAACGAGAGTAAGTGGAGCCCTTAATTTCTAAGATTTCAAAGTATCAGAATATATATTCAATATGGATTTTTTTACGGCCGTCTCTCTCCTCAATTTATCGTTGAAATAAATAAAACGTGAAAGTCCAGTGTTTTAAGCATTTACATAGGGGAATGATTCGTCCATAAACTCCCTAGCGTACTTGTCGGAAGACGATGTAGCGGCGATGACGCGGTGAAATTTTAGTTCACTTACCTCTGTCGTGGGTGTTGGCGATTATTTACGTCTATTAAATGTAAATACACCAAGCTCGTAAATATGGGGTGTTATACGCGTTTTCTACGCATAAACATTAATTTTACGATGATCGAGTTATTTTCTGTTAAATTTTCATAACATTAAAACGCGTCTACGGGTTTTTTCTCTATGATTTACAGTGACCAGCGTTTACCGGTCTTACATAATCTCATTTCATTACACAAATACATTTAATAGTATCAAAAATAAATTGAAGCATAAATAAAGTTTAAAACCTTTGGTTGGACATTATTTCAGTATATGTCTCCCAGCCATTGCGTGCAGACAAATCACCGACGCCAATAGTTAACTAGTCAGAGCAGTTTTGTGAAAACATTAAATATTTGTTTAAATGGAAGTTTTTAGCCTAAAATAAATCACATCTAGGACGAAGCCTTCTAAAAAACAAGAGAAAATATGACATAAGTTTATTTACATCCGCAGGCGCTGCTAATATAAATCACCTAACAAATTCATTTGTTAACCATTGGAGCATGAATGCCATAAGACCGGGTGATGTCTGCTAATAGTTCCATATGTAGTCGACATAACAAGAGTTATTGACTATTAATGATGGGGTTTTATACCGAATAAACGCCCCAATACCATGCCAAAGGCACCCAGAACAGTATTCCATCCGGTCACATTATACTGACAACGGGTGAACCAGTTGTTGCCATTTCCATAAATGCTGAACGTTCAACAGGGAATGACAACTAACATTTTTAAGGACTTTGGTATGTCCCGACCTGGGGACAGAACCCATTGCCTTCCTCACTTTGGTATGTCCCGACCTGGGGACAGAACCCATTGCCTTCCTCACTTTGGTATGTCCCGGCCTGGGGACAGAACCCATTGCCTTCCTCACTTTGGTATGTCCCGGCCTGGGGACAGAACCCATTACCTTCCTCACTTGGGCAAACGTTAAACACTAAGATCAAAAGGGAGGTAAAGCTAAGAAAGACGCTTGGAAAGAAAAAAATTGAGAGAATAAAAAATAAATATCATAGATGATGCAATGGGTGCAGCATATTTATTTTAGTCACAAAAGGAAATCCCCAATTCCACAGCAGGTCTATTCTTTTCTCAGTCCGCAACCAAATTCCTGCCATCGTCTTGAAAATATTATCGATTGAAATAAACTTATTGAATTTTACTTTCGATATACATATGTACTTTCTGTTGTAAGTACGGTCAAACAATACTCGATACTACCGTACGCGTACTACTGTTGTAAGTGTACGGTCAAACAATACTCGATACTACCGTACGCGTACCACTGTTGTAAGTGTACGGTCAAACAATACTCGATACTACCGTACGCGTACCACTGTTGTAAGTGTACGGTCAAACAATACTCGATACTACCGTACGCGTACCACTGTTGTAAGTGTACGGTCAAACAATACTCGATACTACCGTACGCGTACTCCTGTTGTAAGTGTACGGTCAAACAATACTCGATACTACCGTACGCGTACCACTGTTGTAAGTGTACGGTCAAACAATACTCGATACTACCGTACGCGTACCACTGTTGTAAGTGTACGGTCAAACAATACTCGATACTACCGTACGCGTACCACTGTTGTAAGTGTACGGTCAAACAATACTCGATACTACCGTACGCGTACCACTGTTGTAAGTGTACGGTCAAACAATACTCGATACTACCGTACGCGTACCACTGTTGTAAGTGTACGGTCAAACAATACTCGATACTACCGTACGCGTACCACTGTTGTAAGTGTACGGTCAAACAATACTCGATACTACCGTACGCGTACCACTGTTGTAAGTGTACGGTCAAACAATACTCGATACTACCGTACGCGTACCACTGTTGTAAGTGTACGGTCAAACAATACTCGATACTACCGTACGCGTACCACTGTTGTAAGTGTACGGTCAAACAATACTCGATACTACCGTACGCGTACCACTGTTGTAAGTGTACGGTCAAACAATACTCGATACTACCGTACGCGTACCACTGTTGTAAGTGTACGGTCAAACAATACTCGATACTACCGTACGCGTACCACTGTTGTAAGTGTACGGTCAAACAATACTCGATACTACCGTACGCGTACCACTGTTGTAAGTGTACGGTCAAACAATACTCGATACTACCGTACGCGTACCACTGTTGTAAGTGTACGGTCAAACAATACTCGATACTACCGTACGCGTACCACTGTTGTAAGTGTACGGTCAAACAATACTCGATACTACCGTACGCGTACCACTGTTGTAAGTGTACGGTCAAACAATACTCGATACTACCGTACGCGTACCACTGTTGTAAGTGTACGGTCAAACAATACTCGATACTACCGTACGCGTACCACTGTTGTAAGTGTACGGTCAAACAATACTCGATACTACCGTACGCGTACCACTGTTGTAAGTGTACGGTCAAACAATACTCGATACTACCGTACGCGTACCACTGTTGTAAGTGTACGGTCAAACAATACTCGATACTACCGTACGCGTACCACTGTTGTAAGTGTACGGTCAAACAATACTCGATACTACCGTACGCGTACCACTGTTGTAAGTGTACGGTCAAACAATACTCGATACTACCGTACGCGTACCACTGTTGTAAGTGTACGGTCAAACAATACTCGATACTACCGTACGCGTACCACTGTTGTAAGTGTACGGTCAAACAATACTCGATACTACCGTACGCGTACCACTGTTGTAAGTGTACGGTCAAACAATACTCGATACTACCGTACGCGTACCACTGTTGTAAGTGTACGGTCAAACAATACTCGATACTACCGTACGCGTACCACTGTTGTAAGTGTACGGTCAAACAATACTCGATACTACCGTACGCGTACCACTGTTGTAAGTGTACGGTCAAACAATACTCGATACTACCGTACGCGTACTCCTGTTGTAAGTGTACGGTCAAACAATACTCGATACTACCGTACGCGTACTCCTGTTGTAAGTGTACGGTCAAACAATACTCGATACTACCGTACGCGTACCACTGTTGTAAGTGTACGGTCAAACAATACTCGATACTACCGTACGCGTACCACTGTTGTAAGTGTACGGTCAAACAATACTCGATACTACCATACGCGTACCACTGTTGAACGTCACTACCCAAACGATGTTACTCGTTAATAGTACAATGATCACAGGATTACGGAAACAGCATTTTCGTCGGTGTATCATAATTTAGGATATCGATATTATTTTGAAATATAATGATATTCTTTCAGTAAAACTTTCAATTTTCACACAAAAGTATTCAGTATTCCAACACTTATATGAATTTTAAAGTTCTAGGGCCTAGTAGAATATAATTTTCCAGCTATGGCCCCTTCCCATACCCTCCCCCTCCCTCCGGCGCTCCGCGCCTCGGACGCTCGACCCGCAGTAATCATACACTCCGAAAAACGATTTGCTACGCCATTGGAGGGATTTATGAAAAAAAACCTCAAAGATCTACAACTTCCATCACTAGCAACACAGATTAACATTCTATTTAAAAGATCGTGGCGGAACAAATTCCATCAATACCTTTTAGGAAAGAAAACTTTATTTATTTCCAGTGTGAGAAAAAGAAAATTCAGCAGCGGAAGTTCCAGGACTGCCAGACATCAAGACCAACTCCAAATTCAATCAGGAACAATAACAGATCAGTCATTATACCCAAAAACGAACAATACAGAAACTCATTCTTTTGTGCGAACAGCCACAGACTGGAACCACCTGGACGACATCACAGTCGGGGCGCAAGGAATAGAGGCGTTTAAAGCATCAATCCCTACCAACTTGGATTAACCTAAACTAAGTATCGCATGCGTACTTAACCCCCTCCGTATTAAAGCCATTT